TTCTCTTTTCACAAATTAGTTCGATTTTCAAATTAAAATTTATTTGATTCATGGGATTGTTTGCTAGGTTGAAGTTGAAGCATTAGTCATCCAAGGTCCAAAAATGGCTACAGTTATGAGCCAAGTGAAGAAACTGGAGGTCTCTGTTTTGGTCTTAGGTCAAAAGAAGCTCTCTCCATTTCTCAGTTGGTTAGTACTTAGTACTCAGTAAACTCTCCAAATTCACTACTCACCAATACTAAAGTTAGTTAAATCACAAAACCACCCCTGAAGATTAGCCTAGTTACATAAGAGCATCTCCAATGAAAAATGATCCATTTTGTGTTGTATGGCATGGAGAATAAAAACTAAAAAATTATGTCTCCAATGGTTGATGTTAATTGTGGTATCATTTATGATGTGTAAAATTTTAATTGGTTGAAAAAGATAAATAAATTAAATAATATGCTAATATACAATGGAAGTTGTCTAGAAAGACTTCTACATCTAGAAAGCCTTCTAGAATTTTTTCAAGCCACATAAAATTATTTGTGACATGTGGCAACAAAATAGAGAAATAGAATGGCCATTGGAGATGCTCTAAAGGTCCAACTATCCTTCAAAATTATAGATGGCTAAATTGTTTCCTCCCCAAGGTGCAACTTGTAAAATGATAGCGAATGTTTTGTTAAATACTGAAACTACCCCTGGAGTTTAGTCTAATCAATTTAAAGTTTTATAATGTTTCAAATATTACAAAACACACCCATTAAGCATGTGTATCATCCCAGTAGAGATTCATAGATTCATAACGATAACAAATGCAGGAAATGTATTCGTTTGGAATTTCTAAAGATTTTTTAGAATTCAGAAATTCGAAAGTATCTAATTTAGATTTTTAAAAGTTTTGAGGTATTCATTTGAGATTTGAAAAAGTCTTTCAAAATCTTGAGGTATTTAACTCAATTGAGATTAGAATTTGTTAAGACTTTTTAAGATTTGTTGAAATTCTTTTTTTTTAAAAAAAAAAAAAACGTATACGAATCCCACTCAAAATCCACCTCCAGACTTATTAAGGTTTCATAGTATCACTCCAAAACCTTAAAATCTTAAAAAGTCTCAACTCTAAAAAAGTCTCAAAATATCACTCGAAATCCCAAACGAATACACACCGGCAAATGACTGTTCTTCATTTCGAGACACGGTTGGACCTTGATATAAATAGTAAATAGTGGTTTTGGGGGTGTGTTTTGTAATTAACCACAATTTTCTTTTCTAACAATATTTCCCAATTTTGCCAGCCTGTTTGTGAGGAGCAGCACAGATGAGTTTGTGGAAGAATGCATCAACAGTTTGGATTGTTTAACAATTGGAGTAAGAAAGCAGAGCAAAGGAGTTGGCGGTTACCTCATCAGCACAAAATGGCACAAGAACTTTTGGCTTCTGGCTTAGATTTGGTCAATTTATCTAGAAAATAGGGAAAATAATCTAATGTAGAAAATAAATTTGTAGCAACATTCTTCTATTTCTAATTTGTCAATCCTCATGAACAAAAGTACTTTGTAATTTCGCAATCTATTATTACAAGCTAGATCTAGCAAATTCCCAATATAAGGGTAAATGAGGAGTTTTTTTTTTTTTTTAATAGCAAGAGCCGACTCCAAGCCAAGAAATAGAAGGGCTTGGGCCTAAACCAATGAGGCCCAGTTAACACAGGCCAGTCCGTAAAAGCAGGTGCCCCAGTTAGCTTGAATGGCCCGTAGGTTTTGACAATGGCTGGTACAACATGAAACACGAACACAATGGGACATGATTAGAAAACACAATTATAGTGACAAATTATAGTGACAAATTATTGGAATTTGAGTTGCAATATGTTCAGTCACATGGCAGATTTTATTTTTTGTTTTTACCTTTTTTTTCTCAACACGACACCGTATTTACTTATCTCAAACGGTGTCGTTTTTCTCTTGTACGAATATGTTAAATACCAGATTAATGAGAGGTGGGATTGGTAGTTTCGCTATAATCATTTCCGTTCAGTTTCTGTTTGCGGTTTTTTCTGGATCAAGCTAAGCTTTGTAACACAAATGACAAAGGGAAGGACACGAAACACTACACAAAAAGCACGAAATTCGAAAAAAAAAAAAAAAGATTTAGTACCATATTTATGATCAAGTAAAATAGATAGTTATAAAACACAAACACAACACGATTTGCCCTCTCTAAGTGCCCCAGTTAGGCCAAATTGCCTGAACTCAACACACAAAACAATTGTACATAGCTTGGCTTTGGCGTTCAATATGACAGCCAGTCCAAAGGAATTTCGATGAAATCACTATTCACAGCACCGATTATTTTATGACTAATTACAGAAAACTGCCCTTAAAATTTATTCTAATAACAAGAATATAGAGCATCTATAAGTATCATCTGATCACCTCAAAACACAACCAGTCTGTGTAATTGTGTTTCTTTTTATAAAGAATAAATAGTTTCTCTAGCTCAATCCATGTGATAATTCGATTGTTTATCCACCAAACATTTCTCAAACCATTAAAAACATGNCTCCAGCTTTATTATCTTTCAGCCTATCCCTCTCCTTGTCCTGTATTTTTTCATTCTCCTTATCATATTTCAATTTCCTTCTTCATTTTCCCACATTAAACTTTTCGGTTCCATGATATGAGGCTTGCTAGTATTGGTATAAACTAAAAAGAGCAATAAGCTATGTAATTGCATAGATACAATAACTTGGCTATCTTTTGGACCCTTCCAGAGATAATATAAAGCAGTTCTTTTAATATCCCAAAAGTAACTCGAGACACAAACTACTTGATGAATCCATGCTTACTCCAGTTTCAATAAGCTTGCAGGTTTAAGGCAAGAGAAAGCATTTGCATATTTAGGAAGTAGAAGCCACCTTAGGTTCTTCCAGTTAATATACTAATCCTTAGATCATGAGATACCTCTTAGATCATGATTTTCGGGGCTGGCGCTTTTCCTTCTTGCTTGTCATCTCCATCTGCCAAAAGAAAATAGGAAAACAAAGCAACTAGCTTAAGCAGCTAACCCAAAATTTAGCCAAAAATGAGAATACGGCAAAAACAGCTTCAAGTTGGATATAAAGGTCTCTGAAAAGGAGAAAATTGCAAATTAAAATATACTTTAGTCAATAGGGGGGAAAGGAAGAGAGATCATAACCTATCTGCACCCCTAAGGTGATTAATCAGACATGCACACAGATATGTTCTTCCCCGAGTTATTTAGGCATTCACATAGGCTTTATTCCTTTAATTTCTTGGATAAAATGAAAAGTAGAGCACAGGAATCAAGCAATGCAGACAGTATTAACAATGAAGATAGAAAACAAAACAGATTCACCATGTTTGTGGTGTGTATAACAAAGAAAAATCAAAATGCAGTTTCCACTGATCACACACGGACCTTAATTCAGCTAACCAGTATGGGAAAACAGCATACAAACAGTGTAAAGATGTATCAACGATAAGATAATGTAATCAGGTGGATAGACCAAAATCTTTCATCATAAACACAGACAAAGAACACGAGTACATCCTCACGGACTAAAAATGGAAGGAGCTGCATTCATAATGTGATCAAGTGTACAGACAAAAATTCTCCCATCATAAATGCAGGCAAAGAACAAGTGTAGATATATGAACCTCACGAACTTATATACAAATGCAAGGAATATCATTCATAATGTGATCAGGTGTGTACACAAAAATATCTCATCCTAAACGCAGGCAAAGAACATGAGTACACACATCAACCTTAAAAAAAACGCTAGGAAAAGCATTCATAACTATTGTTCATCGCATCTTATTTCGTATAGAACTTGAACAGCTGCTGAAAAATCACAGACCCAGTGCTCATAAGAAGAAAGACGAAGCTCCTAATTAGAAAAGAACAATCAATCGAGCCATAAAATTGACATGAACAAAGCCCTCTTGGTCTAGCTAGCACATGGTACAACTCTTACTGCACAACTCACAACAAGTCAAAGCAGAACCAGAAACAGAACAAGTTCAGGGGGGACAGCGAAATTACCGGCGGCGGCTTCTCCGTATATGGACTTGAGAGTGAGGAGGGGCACGAGGGCATTCTGGGGATTTGCCTCGGCCTCCGCGTAGAGCTTCTGCTTCCAGTCCCAGATCGTGCTTTTGATGGCCTTGTTCGCCTTGACCAGGTCGTCCTTTTCCGCCTCCAGCGCCTTGATCTCTCGCTCCTGCGCCACCGACCTCGCCGCGAGGACGCCGAATACGGCGGCTAGCGCGGTGTTGACGACGGCGTTGCTGTTCGCAGCTCGGTTCAGTGCACTGATTGCTTGCTCCATTTTGCCTTACGGCGACTAATCGAGTCGGGGCGGGTTTGTGTTCCTTTGGTAAATATCTTACCTTACATGTTAATTCAAAAAAGTTTTGACCATGATGAGGCTATGTTAACTAAAGTTGATTATATGAGTGAATTTCCAGTTTTTAGCTAATATTTTATGACTTGTGACTGAAAAATTAACGTATATGATAAAAGTGTTTGGTAAAATTAGCTGATGAGCTAGTTGAAATAAAAATTTCAATGAGTTTATCTACCTAACGAAGTTTATGAGATAAGTTGGAACTTTCTAAAAAATCTTTATTTGAGTATAAGAAGTTGTAAGCTAGCTTATATGTTTACCCGTACAGACTAAGTGACAGGCTCGCGTGCTTCGAATGCTGACATAGTGAAAATATATGTTTCGTAATGTTGTTTCATGTTTGTATATTCATTTATGGTATGTAATTAGGCTTGACATTATACATAATAATTTTATTCAAACTATGTAATTGTGCATTTAATTTTATTTTTTTTCTTTTCTCTTAGTACACATTTCTTTCTTGGTTTGCGCAAGTAGCAATCTTACCATCTTATAACTTTATCTCGTATTTCTATCCTGAATCACGATTTACACATCACTTTCTACATTATATGTTCTTCTCTTTTTTGTTCATCGATTAGTCAATCAAAATGTTAAAATAAAATTTTTACTTTAGATATAACATTATCATATATTTCGTAACTCAGCAATCGTTTAGTACATGGATATTATACTAGTATATATTAATTAAATGGTTGAAAAATGAAACTTATGAAACTATATTTTGAAACTATCATTTTACTATATAGTTTGATAGTCTTAGAAATTAATTAACTATTAATTTGTGATTGAAATATAAAAATTATCGTTGATTTTAACACCGTTGATCTATACGACTCTAATTGGTGTACTCGTTTAAATTTTGAGTGACATTTTGAGATTTTTCAAGATTTGAGACTTTGAAAATTTTTCAGATTAGGATGAATCCTATTAAATCTTATGTTTCGAAATGAAATTTGGAGTAAAATAAATCATATCAAATTATAATTTCAAATAAGTTAAACACTTAAGATTTTATAAGACTTTGTAAATTTTCAAATGAATGTCTCGAGACTTATACGAGTCTTAAAAAGTCTAAGTTAAATACAATTTTAAAAACATTTAAAAAGTATAAATTATATACACAAAGATTTACGAAGTTTTAAAAAGCCTTTGGCCTTGTTTAGCAATCAACGGATAACGGATTGTATCAGAGGACAACGGATAGCGAATTATATTAGCTGAGTTTTAAATAAGTGTTTGATAAATAGCTGAAAGCTTATAGCTGTTTGATATTACAAAATGACCAATAAGGACATTTTATTATTTAGGGTGTATTCTTATACTAATAATATATTAAAATATTTAATATTCTTTAGTTGGTAATTTATAAATATAATATTTTTTTTAACACTTGATGAAGAAGTTATGAATTTTACATTTTTCTAGATAAATTAATCATGTGGATGACATATTATTATTTATTAGCACCATAAACCAATGTAGATTGTAATATAAATAAGACAAATTAAATAGATTGTGAATCCTCTATCTCCAAAAGTCTGTTCTAATGAACTTTTTCTAAATTAGAGTTTTGGACCCAAAAAGCTTATCAAATAAGCTATTTACCAAAAAAGCTCAAATAACGGATTTGACGGGTCAAACTTCTCAATTAAGTCATATCCGTTAATTTATCTTCAATCCGCTATCTACCAAACGTTTATAAATTTCTAACGATTACACTCTTAAGTTTATTCTAGTTTTACTTTTACAGGTTTCGAATACAAGTTAAATATGTAAAACTTTTCCCCGCTCCACTACTCGACACTAGCACACGAAGATGGCCGCCTGAAGAGAAATCGCACCTCAAAAACGAATTTTTTAGATTCTAATACTCCAAGCTGCTATTAACTATGCATATAAAAAAACTACTAATTAGATATGACCATCCTCTAAACCAGTCTTCAACGAACAACATGAAGAAACTCTCATAAAATTGATATTGTTTAGTTTCGTCGCGTGCGGATTTTGCTTCTTATGTGCAACACTTTCTTGTTTAGTTTGGACTTATGATTGTTGTCCAAATTGCATTGATGTGAGTTGATATTTGTCCACGTTCTCGTTTTGAGTTTTATAATATACTATTACAAAACCGTGTGTTACACCAATGCTTATTAAAAAATGTATTCTTAAATTTTAAAATTAATGAAAAAGTGTTTTAAAATTTAATATTTTTTTAATATATATTATTATATTCTTTAGAATGATCCTTTTTACTTGTAAATAAATTACGCGTGTTATATTATAATAATTTGTCAAATTAAAGTTCATTAAGAGATTATTAACTTGATATATTATATATGTAAAATTGATAAAAAATACAAAAGTTATTAATTTTGAAAATACATTTACACTTCGATAGTTATAATAAAAAATGATATTAAAATGCAATTAATACATTTAAAATGATGAAAAATAATCAACATATTTATGAGTAATTCGAACCTAATTATTTTTAAATTGAAAATAAATTAAAATTTGTTTAAGCCAAACAATGAAGTATACAATTTTGCTGAAGTATGTGAGTATGCCAGTTACACTTAGCACATTCGAAAATTATATATAAATGAAATATGATCATAAGAAAAAAAAAAGATTAAAAAAAACAATTGATTATTTTATTTTGTGGCAAATATATTGCCCTCTTCCCATTTTTCTTCCTCAATAGCGAGTGAAGCCAATCGTCCCCAAAGAAAATACTACAGTAAGAAATTTTTTCTACGCAGCTATGTCCGAACGCCGGCCTCCATCAATGGCGGCCCTGAAAACCGACGACCCTCTCTCCCGGCGCATCGCCCGCTCTTTCCTCCACTTCCTTAACTCCGGTAAGGCTTAGCTTTTTCCACCATTAGTATCTCCTTTCATCGACTCGCATAATCACTGCTTTCGATTTTCTGTACAAAAATTCCCGCTGATGGCAATGGCTGGCTGACCTGAACTGTGACTAGAGACATCGATAGTCGATTTCGATTCCAGAGAAGTTCTTTTGACCAGAGTCAATACCGTGCCTTGATGTTAGGGTTCATGATTTTCCCGTTTTATCTGTTTGTATGCAGTTGAGCCTTCGGCCGGAGTTGATAGCGAGGCACTTGATGTGGCGAGGGAATGTCTGTCGGAAGTGTTTAAGATCGATCAATCTTCCATAAGTCAGTCGAATGGTGAGCCGTCTTTGGTAGACATTTTCAGCTTGCAAGAAGCGAATGCCGATCGTGATGTTGAAAATAGGGGGTTTTTTGATGCGACCAGTTCGTATTCAGGAAAGGATGATGCTGTTGTTGTTGAGGTTTGTCTGTATCATCAGTCCCGAGTCTGTGATTTTCCGTGTTTCATTTTCATTGTTGGATCATGAAAGATATGCTGTTTGACCTCTTTTTTGGTTGTTCGAGTTTCTTTTCTCGCAAAGCATGTCGCTTAATTTTCAATAGATCAAGAATGGTTTGCCCATATTGGATAAGCCATCGTGATGTTTTCAGTTTTCTGTATAGTTCTTCTTTGATTTATTCTTTTTCTCTTTCACTACTGTCAATTTTGGTTGTCAAATTTGGAAAATGGGATATAAGTTGAGTTCAACTTATATTTGTTCATAACAGGAAGGAGGCGGAACAAGGGAGCCTCATTCGCCTGGTATGATTGACCGTGCTCTTATCCAATTCCAATTGACCATTTGATATTCTCCCCTAGTAGTTAATCTAAAGTGAATAATCTTCTTTCATTGAATAGTTTCCTCTTTTATTTATTTCTAGCTGACACGATAAGCTTTTTATCTGGCGTTGACTCGTGACAGGGAAAGATGAACTCTTTGGGAAATTGTTTGGTGCACTTGAAAAGATTCATTACTTTAGAAGGATGTCTGATGGAACTGATGACCAGGGCCAGCTCGATAGGACGACGCACTTATTTCATTATGCCGTGAAGGTATGAACTGCTTCAGGAGGTGGAAATCAAACTCCAAGCCTACATTGTATTTTTTGAGTGCGTTGTTCTGATTGAAGGTGTTCAAGCAATTACTGATATGTTGCTTATTTGTAGTGTGTGCGTGCGCAGGTGCATTATTATTATATTTTTCCAGCTTTGAGATTTTTACTTAGTGTACCCTTCAGATTGTGAAGCTGACCTCATACTTTATTGTGGGGTGCAGTCGTGACTTATTAGTTTCTTTTATTTGCATTAGGTACTTCATAATTAGAGGAGTCAACATATCTGATAGACTTAAACCATACTTCATGTAATTTTATTATTAATACTTCTATCTCATCACCGTGGGACCATTATAACAGGAAATGGAAGAAACGGGATGTCAAACATTTGATCAGAATATGCTGGCAGAGACCTTTAAATCACAGGGTACTTTTTCTCTCTCTCTCTCACACACACACAAACACACGCATTCACACGTAAAAGCGGTCCTCATGGACGTATCCTAGACTGATTTACTTCTCTTTTGACAATTGAGCTTTTTTAGCAAGCGTTATAAGAAATGGGAGCAATCTATTATGCATGAAATAGAGTATTTAAGTTGACTGATAATGAATCTTCTCTTCTGCTGCCACACACCTGGATCATTAAAATAACTCATCTTGCCATTTTTTATTTCTCCCACCCCATGGCCATTTCACTCTTGCCCGAAATTCACATATCAGTGGCATATGTTTTTTTTAATAACTAATTATGAAATTCATATATATTACTGGTACCATGTATTCTGAAGATAAATAGAAATTCCTCTGTTGTGAATTTTAATGCTTGTTCAAATTGCATCTTTGGCAGGTAACAAGCTCGTGCAGTCTAAACGTTACGATGAAGCAGTTGAGCTGTATACTTTTGCTGTTGCTCTATGTGAAGGCAATGCTGTTTACTATTGCAACAGGTCAGTCTGTTGTTTTTGATTTATAGTGTACTTTATTTATTCTTTTAAATCTCCATTGCTCTAAACAATCTTCAAGAAGGGCCGGTGGGTTCTAGGATGTCATAGATTCTACAAAGTTTTTCAAATCAGAATTGAGGATGTACCATTTTGGGGTTCTAACAATACCTTTATTCTTCCGAAAAATGATATTTCCTTTATTATTTATTATTTTTTTTCCTTCCCAAATTGTTAGGGCGGCTGCATATACACAGCTCCATCGATATGCTGAAGCTATACAAGATTGTCTGAAGTCCATAGAGATCAATCCACATTACAGCAAGGCTTATAGTCGCTTGGGATTTGCTTATTACTCCCAAGGAAGGTATAGGGATGCAATTGATGAATATATGAAAGGTTGGTTATTGTAATTCATTTCTGGTAGATGTATACCTCTATTTGTTATTCCGACGAACAAATGTGTTACGCTTACATAAAATAGATTTCACTTGAGACCACCTATTATTTTTCAGTTTGACATTATTTATTTTTTTATTTTTAATTGTGGTTTTAAATAGAGCTATCATATTTTTGGCAGCGCATGTGCTGGATCCTAATAATACGTCGATAAAGGAGAATGTTCGGGTTAGTCGAGAACCTTATATTGGAAACCAAAGAGTTCGAGCTACATTTCTTTGAAAAGATTATTATATGTGATTTCATTCTCTTTCTGATTTTAGGCTGCTGTACAAAAACTGAATGAAGAAGGTCAGGTAATGCCGAAATTCCAAAAATTCTCACTCTAGATTACTGATCGGACCATAAACCTTTTTCACGAGATAAAAGCTGGCATTTTAGTTATCAAGTTTGGACCTCGGACCATTTTGTGGACTCATCCAATGATCCAATTAACTATATATGCCCTTAGATCAAGGGTTAAATTGAAAGTTTGTCATAGAGGTAGAGAAATGAAAGGAAAAAGAAAAAAAAAAAAAACGTGTCATCTTTTAAACTTACATGTATTCTTTCGAAAGCCATTTCGTACCTCGGCTATAGACCCTTATGATAATTCTTGTAAATACTTTCGACAAGTAAAGATAGTCTAAATAACAGTTTTACACATTAGCTGCACAGTTAGGGAGAAAATTAAGACACGTTCGCCCATCACATTTTTTTTCTTTTTCAAATATATGTCAATCATTTTCGAACTCTTTTTTCTCACAGAGTTCAACTTCCACAAACCACCAGCCTCAATTTCCATCCATGCCCTTCAACATTAGCGGCGATCCTCCTCATGACTTCACGGACTTGTTCCGGAACTTTGTACCTCAAGACTTTCAAGGTGGGCCCCACACAGAGAACAACAACGAGCAGCCTGGAATAAGAATGGATGGAAGCGTAAATTTCAACTTCAACCAATTGCCAGAGGAGTTATCCGGTGCTTTTAGGTCCATGATGGGGGGGATGTTCCCTGGTGGGGCCCCACCACCACCACACGATGGTAATCAGCAAGATAACAACCACCACGGAAGGCCGGCTTCAAGTTAACGGGGTACGATTCGAAATTTTAAGGGCTCGTTTGGTAATGTAGTTTTGCTGTAGATTTTGCGGGGGAATGAATGGGCTCGACTTCTAATTTAGATTGCATGATAAATATTTATAGAATTTTATTGTGTCCCGGATGCGATTTTTTCGTGGTTTTGATGTTTTCGGGCGATATCGTGTGGTGGTGTCTTTATTGATGATCAACACAACGGTTTGAAAATTTTTCTCCAGATTGCAAGGTGAGATGTATTCTGGTTTTGTTGTGTTTTGTTGTGTTTTGTTTTGTTCCCACATCGCCTGTTCAGTAGCTTTCGCTATTTCTGTAACTAACGTTTTATTATTTTAATTGATTAGAATCAATTCTATTTTTTTTTTTCTTTCCTTATACTATGAATTACTATAAATGTGATTCTTTATTATGTTTTTAAAATTTTCACTTTTTTTTATATGCCATTCATTTTGTATTTATAATATACCAAACTAATTATTTTTTACTGTATTTTGTATATATTATATATTGTAAATTTTTATATATGTAAATAAAAAAAATAGTTAAAGCGTATAAATAAAATATGTATATTAATTCTAACGGGAAATCAACAAGTGCGTCTAAAATGTACATTATAAAGCAAACTGCAAATATATGTGTTTTTTTTTTTAAAAAAAAGGATAACGTAAAATAAATATTTTTGTGTACATATCATATGTGTTTAAAAAAATTCGATGGCAAATAAACTATAAATAAAAGTATAAAAAAATTTAAATGTAGAAAGGTAATCCAAGTATATAAAGCCAGAGTGTTCCAAGTTTATGTGTCAGATTTTTTGTGCTTTAAAATTTTGTGTATTATAAAACTAGAGAAAAAGAGAGAATAGAGAAAATGTATTCTCTTAGGTGTGTTTTTCATTATAACTGAAGTTCCTATTTATAGAAAACTCCTGATGATACAATTTGTAATAATACAAATACATCGAGGGCAAAATAGTCATTCACATATATTATTTTATTATTTCATAACACTCCCCCTTGAATGACTATTTTCTAAACATATTTTAACTAATTTGAATAAAACCCAATCTGTACATCTTCAAGTGTATCTTGTGGTCATCAGGTACCGTTGCTTCAACATGTCAGGAAAACCCGGTGGGATAAAACCTGATCATCGTGAAATCATAACATTGTTTCGTCAGGAAAACTCGGTGGGACAAAACCTGATCATCGTGGAAGCACAACTTTGCTCCCCCTCAAATAGATCATCTTTAGTGGAGTATCCATGTGTGCTGCCTCGTTAAAACCTTGTCAAGAAAACCCAGTGGGAAAAAACTTGATCGAAGGAAAAAGAGTACAGCTACTCCAGTCTCTCTTATCACCGTGAGAAATCATATCATTTATCCAATAGTGCTCATGATACCATGAATATGCCTCGTTAAAACCTTATTAGGAAATACCCAGTGGGACAAAATCCTAATGAAGGAAAAAGAGTACACTATTCATGTGAATACGCTATCCTTGTTGCCTCATTAAAAACCTTGCTAGGAAAACCCAATGGGACAAAACCTTAGCCAAGGGAAAAAGAGTACAACGCGTATTTCATATATTCACCATAATAATCTTTCCATAATTTGTATGAGTATCATATAAATTCGTTCAGATTTTCAGATACTGATGGTATTCATGACAATATGTCATATCATGCTTTGTGCAACGTTTATTCTTAAACTCATTCTCATCATCAATTGATGGTGTTACTGCCAATAGTTCCCAATATTCACATTTCAGCTGATTTCATTCTCGTCAATATCATTTATATAGCGCTATTCATTTGTTTGTGTCGACACTTATTCATTTCCATTATTCCCCGTAATATATTGAGATATCTCATTATCAATTGATTTCAACAATAGTAAATATACCCTCTTTCATCACTTATTCGGGGAATTTCAATTTGCACAATACCAATGCTTTCAGCGTATTATTCCACTATCATATCATTTCATATAATTCATCATCATCAGTATCATATAGTTTATGATTTGCACACTTTCACTGTGATGCATATATCATTTTTCGAATTTCAATCATTGATTCTCTCCCTCATCTTAACAGATTCCTGATCTGTATTTTTAGTATTGAATTTCTTGAGGGGAGTTCATATGTCTCTATTTTGTTCTTGATTTCAACATATATTTGGAGGACTTTGAACTCATATCATTTGTAGTGTGCACATTTTTCTTTCAAGAGTTCATCATATCATGTGAGTATATTACTAGCTTCGTCACTTTCATATGACACTTATTTTCATTCTTTAATAATCATCTTGTGTCATCCTTAGATCAAACCATCTCGTAAATTCAGGTTACATGTCATATACACATTCTTTGATCAAATCATCTCGTAACTTCAGGTTACGAATCACACACATGTGGCTATCTAGTGGATCCATAATATCTAGTAGCACACATGGAGGGGTAGTGGGCCCATATATATCGTACCCCTTTCATACTCAGATTGATCATATATCGATTCACAAATATTTAGCTAGTAATATTTTTCACCAATCGGGAACAAGCATCTCATATCACAAAGAATAAGTTCATCATGCAAACCATCATCAATAATATCGGTAAACATTTTTAAAGTGATCACAATAATTCGTTGTGACATGTTTATCACAAACATTTCACATCATCTTTCGGCGGCAATAAATGCACTTTAAGTGTAGGCTCTGGTATAATATCTTTTAACCACTGTTTAAATCCAGAATCGTATCATGCTGTCTGACACACATACTTTTGAACACTGTTTAAGTCCAGAGTCGTATCTCATACGCATCATATTTTTCTATAAATTATCAGGTAATTCATTCAATTTTCTTTAACAAAGGTCCGAATTTACAAATGGATTTAGCACTCTCAAATATCCGTAAATATTATTCTTTTCTTCCGAAAAATATCATAAAAAGGATTTATCGATCTCGATTAGAAAGATTGAGGATGCTAATGAATAATGGTATTCCAAATGATGTTAGATGGTTGATCGAAGCACAAGTTCGATTGTCTGGAGAGTTTCCAAATTCATATAAATATATGCCAGGTATGGGTAAAAGTACTTATGCAAAGAAACGAAGAGCAAAAAGGTTAGGTGGATGCTTCAAATGCGCTCGATGGACTTGTGACACTCGATGTATATCTGTGGGGTACGTGTCCAAAAATCGAGAAGATAAAATATCATTTATAAAGGATGGATTGAGTAAGGAGTCTCTGGATCAAACGATTCAACAGATTCTTGAGACACATCCTAGTGGGTATGTGCATCGTGAGCTTATGTCTTTATGGATTCAGTTAAAAAATGAAGAAGAACGTTATAGTCTCGAAAATATTATTTCAAAAGATCAAGTTTGTAAAACTGGTCTTGTTAGTACGAAAAATCATACTAATACAGTTTAGTATGTTGTACTGTAATTTTCTAGAAAAACTTATAGTTGCCGACAGATAAGATTTATTTAAAACCCAACACCTTATCTGTCAGTTGCAATTGTCAGAAGAAAACAGTAAAATTATTTATTGCTTTGTAAAACTTTCCATTTAAATAGCGAGTCGTTCATCATAATCATATGCCTCACAAAGTTATGAAAAATTCAGTTTATCAATAAATAGATGGATGTTTCAGAGTCTTCGCAAGGTAATAATTTTCTTCAACCGATCAAAACCATATGTGTTCTTGGTGGTTCTAAACTGGTAAGTTTTTCTCAAACTATTGATATTGTAAGTCAGTTAGTCAAAGAGATGGGGAATCAAAAAATCAATTTGCTGTATGGAGGGACTAGCAATACTTTCTATGATAGTCTCTTAATGGCTGGACAATGTTTTGAGATAGAAGTGAAAAGTGTCATACCTTTTCGTAGAGCTTCAACAAAGGTCGTCAAGGATTCCACAAGCATGATGTTAACTCATTCCATTCATGATTGTATGATGGATATGGTGAACAATAGCGATGCTTTTATCATTCTTCCAGGCGGGTATGGAACGCTAATGACAATGTTCACCATTGCTTTATGAGCAGAATTGAAACTTCATAACAAGCCCATAGGTCTATTGAACTTTAATAACTTCTTTCATGGTTTGCTTGGATTTTTAGACATAGGAGTATATCAAACCTTTATATCTCCTTCAATGAGAGAAGTATTCAAATCTGCTGACACGTCTGCTGAACTTATCAAAAAGCTTCAAGAATGCATCACATTTCAAGATTCTGTGGAAACACAAGGGGTCAAGCGAAAAAGAGCTTTTGATCCTTTAGATCTCTCATTATGAACCCAGATATTATTCAAATATGAACCCAGATATCATTCATCGGTGGCAGAGTTACGGAGTTTTACACTCTCGAGACGCACCCTTCTTTTATGGGTTATATTATGTAATCTTTGCGTATTTTGTATTCATCGAGTATTTACTGCCTCTTTTCCATATTTCCACCATCTGAACATTTTGTACTTGTTTCTCAGTAATAATAATATCAATTTCGATTTTTCTCAGTGTATAGTAGTTCATGACTACAATCATTATCATTTGTGCTTCTTCCGGAGCACTTTATTGTAATATCTGTATGATCTCGTATCCCAATGTGATCTCGTCATCTGATTTAGCCCCTTAGACTTATATAATATATTGAGAAATCATTTTTGTGTGATCACCCATAGCTGGTAGCTTTTGATACCACTTTCTCATTTTGTTCAATCATCCAATGGTAGCTTCTAGTACCATTTCATCACTTTGTTTAATCATAAAGTGGTAGCATCCAGTACTACTATACCATGATATCATTTAATCATTATGCCTTAACTTCCGTCGTCACATTAATCATGTGGTAACTTCTAGTACCATCTCATCAATATTCATATCTCCATAAATTTGGAGAATTTATCAACTGATACTTCAGGACCAGGTTAGTCCATATAATGTCTGTTCATGATAAGGACTTTAATTAACTTTCACATGGTCAGATACAAAGTATCATTAATTTCACTCATTGGCTATCACTTAATTTGTACTGCCCGTCTCCGGCGGCAGAGCCGCACTGGCCGGCCCATGTGCATATATAGCCATTCATATACTTTTATCTGTATTTTCTGTTGCACACGGCTCTGGCCATTCCACATCAGCGGCTATCATTAATACATTGACTGATCTATTTAGCCTGTTCAATATTATCTGTTGTTGGTGACTGCTTTGACCATTTCATATGGTCGGTCATATTTCCTTTATAATATTTTTGACCAATAATTGACCCGTAGGCTATCATTAAATAATATCACCTGCCGACGGCAGAGCCGCACTGACCAGTCTATGTAGCCACACATATTTATTTTCATATCACATGGGTCAATCCATAAATATCCACATGTTCACGTATCAAATAATTTTCTCAATCAAACATTTCATAATGTCAATTTAATAAATCATCTCACTATTGGTCTTAAATCGAAGCTCTATTTAAATGAAATATTATGAGATTGTAAAACGCCAATTTTTATAATGTATGCCTTTTTGTATCCGATAAAAATCTATCTGAAGCTTGATGAATAATTGAAATTTTATATTTATGTTTCATTATAATGTCCATAATAATGTCCATGTTTGGACAGCACGTGCCATGCCGTATTTACTTGAATAATTGTATGGCATTTTTATCTCTCTCTTCCAAGATTTATTAAATGTATCATTTATGACCATGGCACACTTACCAAACATCATATAATTGAAGATAAGAAAGTAGTTGTTATTATTGACAGAAGGCCATGATTTTCTCAGTGCATTCATCTTCTCTAAATAATTATTCTTATTTTATATGAATGTGATGATGACTGTTGATTTAACTTTATAATATTAGTTTTAAGAAATATAGATGAGAAACTTACGGGGACATGAGAGTCTCTTGCACTTCTTTTGTGGTTTGTTGAGAGAAAACAGTGTATACCAACGCAAAGGTACTGTTAATCTCAGCACCCAAGAGTAACTCCAAGGTATGGTAGCATGGAAATTTACAATTTATTTTCTTATTTTCCCCATTTCCTCTTCGAACTCCACCTCTGATGGTTGAGTCCCATTTGGCCCCCATGTATCCGTCACTTTCTGTATTTTTATTCAACAAGCACATAAAATCAGAAACTCAGATCCCCTTTCAGACCCGACCGCCATTTTTGAAGCCGATGAACATCAGTTTAACTAGCTTCTTCAATCTCTTGCCAAACTTCATTATCGATACCGCTTTTGTTTTTTCAATGACAAATCATCTTCACATAATCTAAAACTCTAAATCAAATATTAGGTGAGAAAAAAAATGTGGGGAGTGTGTATAAGTTCAATGCTTCCATAAATTTTTTGACAAAGAGCCAAGAGATAATGGTTCGTAATAATCTGATTTCTGATACAGAAGATCGTCGGTAAGACGCAACTGTAGAGCATACTCTCGTCATATTACAAATTGAGCTCTAGAAGGTAGAGACTCGTGCTGATAACGTGTTATAAAACTAGAGAGAAAGAGAGAATAGAGAAAATGTATTCTCTTAGGTGTGTTTTTCATTATAACTGAAGCTCCTATTTATAGGAAACTCCTGATGGCACAATTTGTAATAATACAAATACATCGAGGGCAAAATAGTCATTCATATACATTATTTTATTATTTCATAACATGTATCCACTTTTGGTGCTCCATAATTCACAAATATTGTAGATTTTTCGAGTCTATTTGTCGAGTAGTGACAACATCTGGTGCTTCATAGTTTTATGTATAAAATTATGCATTTCGAACCTATGTGTTGTCCTCTATGTGACAACTTCGGTTGTTTCATAATTTTGAATTCGTGTTTTGGTATGTACATCGGGACTTTTATTCATGTTTATTAGGACTTTTAAAATTATAAAACAATATTTCAATTGAAATTATAAATATATTTTAAATGTTAACAATATTTTCATGTTTAATGTATCAAATTATTCGTTTTGACGATATTCGATTTGATATAATATATATATTAAAGTAAATAAAAATATATTTTTGTCAGAAATATTTAAAATTTAAAATTAACATTTTAGTTTTACTTATTTATTTATTTATTAAATATAATATTTTTAAAACGCATACCACTACTAGTTAAACCGTTATATACGCAGATATCAAAAATGTAAAATAAAACATTAAGTTCAATGTTGTTTAGCATATAGGATATTTGATGTTAAAATCAAATATTAAATATATACATAAATATCATACTTCAAAAAAAAATCATTCATAAAAAAAATAAAAATAAAAAAATAAATCATTCATAATATTTGTATGAAAACGTATATATTAATACCCAAATTGGGGGTGAAAAAAACAGGAATTACTTCCAACCGTGGACCCTGGAGATAGTTTATGTCGAAGGTCGAAATCACAATATCGCACAAAAACCTGCGGCGGCGGCGGCAAGGAGCTACGAAGTTCCCGGCGATTAACTCAACATTCCAAAGTGTGTTTATCTGATTTTAATTTTGTATTTTTTCCTTGTTCGTTCATTCGTCTTTAATTCGGTGAAATTACTCGAATTCATATATGGAGCTGCACAATTTTTTCTAATCTTTCAACTATTTATCTGCATATCCCAATTGTTATCTAATATTAAATCGACTGTTTTTATTTTTTTGGGAATTTGTTGCCATGATTTTGCTGATATTTACTGATTAATATCGGTTTTCCAGATAATTATTTGATCTTGTTTTGATCGGTCAATTTATGTATGTATATTTTTTTAATTGCCACGAAAATCATTATCCTCGATCCTCAGTTAATCTGCTTGTACACTATGGAAATGTTGATGTGAAAGGATTTTATGGTTGGCTTTGAAAATTAGCCTGGTCAATATTTCTGCTTTTGCATCTTTATATTGATCGAGTGTTGGTTGAACTCAGGTAACCAATGCTCTTGTTTCCCATCACCTGTTGATTTATGGAGAGTGGCAACAATAAATTCGGAAGAGGTACGAATCAAACTGTTCGATTTTGAAGTTCTTACACGTTTTATTTCTTCTATAAAGCGAGCATTGTGAAAATATTTTTGGATTGAAATGCCTTTATTTCGTGCTCTGTGTTTTTAGCTGGAGTGTGTTCTATGTAGTTTACGCAAGAACTGAGCCAATTTAAGAATTTGAATTAGAACTCGCCTAAGCCAGCTTTATAATCCTTTCATATTTGTCCCATCATGATAACTAGTAACTTATGCAAAGGATAAAACAGTTATTACTCTAGAAATATTGTGTAGTTTCTTTCCAGAATCACGCTGTTACGTTTTGTGAGCTGTGAATGTTTGATCAATTGGATCGATTTTCGCTGTGTGCTAAATTTTAGTGTTCTAGAACTGAAGGGGGGATAATTTAAGCAAAATCTTGGTTGGTTCTGTTTTTAACTTGAAAATTCTCCTCAGCTGTATTTCAGAGTTATTATACTGTTAAGGCACGAGTCTTGGTTTTGATCGATAAATATTATTAGCTTACACATCACTCGAAACTCTAAAGTATTATCGACGTGTTCTTGAATTAGGTCCGAGAGAGCTTACAGGCAGTCTTGATCTTATAAGCCACTACAAATTATTGCCTTTCCATGAGTTTTTCTGCAAGAAGGCTTGTCCTGTCTCGGTTCTTGAAACGCATTACCTTCACAATGTGGTTGGGGACACAGATATTAGGAAAGGGGAAGGAATGCAGTTGGGTCAACTCGTTCAGAGGACTCCCCAAAAAGATAATAATTCACGTATTCAACCGTTCAAATTGGACGTGCTTGGCGAAGCCTTTCACATCCGAGAGTCATCTTCTGTTGACTTACCTTCTGTAAGTATTAGTTACCCCTTTTAAGGCTTTTCATTGGGTTTTGGCAACTGTATTGAACTACCAACATTTTTTGGTTTAAACACTTCGAGTTAATTGCAAATAGCAAAAAATCACGTCACACCATTAGAGTGGAAAGTGCAGCATCTGAGGCCCCAATTGGATATGAGTCATAACCGATTTTAATCGGTTTTGATCGATTGTGTTATTTTATTCCAGTCAAAATTCAACTCAATCCAACCCTCCCACTTTTTATCAATAATATAATAATTAAATAGGACCAATCAATCATAATCACACATTACATCAACTTTAATTCTTTAATTCACTATTCATCCACTCACATTATTTTAACTACCTATCACTTCATTCACTCACATAATTTTAACTACCTACCACTTCCAATAACCTCACTCCTACTTTTCGTCACATCAACTTTGATCATTACATTTTAAATATTATTTAGTTATAAACTCAAAATCATCCACTCAATCAACTTTATTCAAAATAACTCACTTTAACCAACCAAATCCAACCAAAACCGGTTGGATTCATATTCAATCACGCCATGAGGGATTCAAATTTTAGTTTTTCAGTCTCTCTCTCCCTCTCTCCTTTTCTCCAGTTTTTAGTTCTTTATATTTTTTTTTTAGTTCTGTAGCTTTTCATTTTTTTTTTTTGTACCAAACATTGGCCTCAATCTTTTTTAGTTCTTTATAATTTTTTTTGTTCTTTAGCTTTCAATTTTTTCTTGGGTTCCATACATTGGCATCAACCGTCACGGGTATCAGAATTAGGACCAGAGCAGATTAATTTGGCAGTTGTAATAATGATTTTGTCAAAATTTGTGGTAAGATTAGGAGTGAGGACTTTCAGTCTGATGGCATCTTTTTGGTTGTTCTTTAGTCTGAAAAGGGAATTCCTACTGTTGCTGTGAAACCTAAAATCGAGTCCAAACCCAAAGACAAGCATAAGAAGCACAAGAACAAAGACAGGGAAAAGGATAAAGAGAGAAAAAAACACAAACACCGGAGTAAAGAGGAAAAGGAGAAAAAAAGAGATAAAAAGGATCAGGTATTTTTATTCTTATGATAGCCCTCTGACTGCTTTCAGCAATGTAAAGCTAGTCGAGCCATATGAGATATTGCATCTTTATATTTTCATTGAATGACTGGGAATGTAGTGCAAATTTACTGATTACTACAGATTTTTGTATCTTTCATTGCTTGGACTGGAACCAAAAGAAAAATAAAAAGGGAATAAGTGGAGATGAATAATTTGATGCAATTCTTCTATAGAACTCTACATTGTGATTAAGTTACTGGACAATATGCATCGATTTTTTTGATCCAGAAGAGGAAGCATGATGGAGTTGAAGATGTCAATGGCATTAAGAAGCACAAGAAAACTAAGGTAAACCAGAAGATAGCGAACTAGTTCTATTTTTCATTTCTATATTCTGAGCAAAAGTAACATTTTTGTTCTTACAATCCGCGAATGTCTTGGTGGATTTCGCTGGTTTTCATGTGTGGTTTATCAATTTTTTATTGCTATATTTTATCCATGCAGAATATTGGAGCACCAAAGAAATAAAATTACGAGTCGGAACTCNTTAATATACCTTCCTACTTCATTATCCCCTATTTAATGGCATTTTTTTTTTCAATTTTAGAATAATCAATCTTGAGAGCAGTGTAAATAAACCTTAAATAGGATGTAATGAATATTGTGTGTATTTTAAGATGCAAATTAAATGCTTTGAAAACAAGAAACGAGTATTGGAATGGGACAAAGGAAGTATGAGTATTGGAATAGGATAAAGGAAGTATATCTTTTCCCCATGGATGAACTCTTTTAAATTTTATAAATACAATTAAAACAATTAATCATGGCAAATTGACAATATATATTTTTCTATAAAATATATTATTTATCCTCTCGAATTTTAATTATATAGTTTATCTCATGTCAACACAATATTAATAACACTATATTTCGTTGAAGTTTTTCTTTCCCTTACAATAATCTTTATCCATGACACATAAAAGTCTACTAAAATAAATTGGGATAAATATACGTGTTACGCTTTCAAGTTGTCAGATGGATTATTGGCAAGGCTAATAATAACATTTCGAGTGCATACTTTCCATTTTGGTCTTTTTATGAAACGAAACATTGAATTTGCACTAAAAATTAAAATATTTGAAAATAAACCACTGTCCATTAAGGGTGACTGAACCGAATTAAGAAAACCTAACTAACCAAATTATACTATGCCAATAATCAAAACTGGTCGAATTATTAATTTAAACCGAACATTAACTGATCGAACTATACATTTTAAAATATATTATATATATATATATATTATTCGGTCGGTTCGGTTATTTCGGAGATTTGATGTCCGAATACCGACACCGACGAAATAACGGAAAAATGATTTGACTACCAAAAACCGGCCAAGACGGATAAAAGCCGAATCGAAATTTTCCGTTCGGTCGATTTATTCGGTTTTAACTTTAAAAGTATCAACAAAAAAAAATCATTTTATTAATATCTAGCAAACGACGAACACATTTCAGTTCAGCTCGTGCAAGCTCAAATTTGACTCACTCATTTATTTAAATGAATCGAGTTCGAACAACAAATCAATATCATTTATTCAACAAATCGAATCTGAGTTTATTCTCAAACTACTAAATTTATTTATTTTTATTTACTTTTATAGGCTTCTAAGAATTAAACCAAACATATTCATTTTAGCATTTTACAAAACTATAAGAAAAGAACAAATTTTCAGTATTTGTTTTGTGGTGCACACAAAACCTCCGCCCAATAAACAAACAAAACCTACATGAAAATTCCAGAAGACAAAAACCACCAAAATCACAATAGCTTCAATCATAAAACACTCTGAAAACTGCAAACCATCGCTCGTTGTTTGCTCCGCCAAAAGCTAAAAACCATTTATTCTTGGCTCAACCAAATTTACGCTTATTTTTCAAAATCTCCATAAAAACCGTACCTTTATACTCATCACATTTGACTCGTGTCGCGTGGATCAACTGAATCGAAGTTGTTAGGAATTCACTTCTGTGCCATCCCAAAAGGGCTGCTTTTGGTATTTGCTTAAGGTTCGATTCCGTTTTCAATGTTTTGTTTCTCGTGCAATTTTGTCTAGTTCTTGAAAATGGGCTTGCTTTGAGTGATGTTCTATTTACTGTTACAGTTTGTGTGTGTGCTATAAAGTTGAAGATCGTCCATTGTGATGCTGAGAAAGAAAAAAATTGTGCTAAGCTATGTAATTTTTTTTTTTAATTTTAATTTTTGATTTACAATCAATTCAATATTTTATTCCTCAGCTGCAGCTAGTGATTCGTGACGAAAATTTTGAAAAAAAAGGAAAATCTAAGTCAAATTGATTCGATACTGGAAAAACCTTGCTGTTGTTTTACAACTTTTGATCANAATGGATCCTTATTACATCGGTGCCATCATCCCACTCGTGCTGACTCTTCTCATTCGCACCACGAAAAAATCGAAAAAACGAGGCTTGCCGGTAGATGTCGGTGGCGAGCCCGGATTTGCATTACGAAACGCTCGATTCGAATCGCCTGTTGAGTCAGCTTGGGAAGGTATCACGACCCTTGCCCAGCTTTTCGAGCAGTCGTGCAAGAAACACTCGAACCTGAGGTTGCTCGGGACTCGAAAACTCATTGCTCGGGAAATAGTGACAACCGATGGGAGGTCTTTTGAGAAGCTCCATTTAGGAGATTACGAATGGTTGAGTTACGGGCAAGTTTTTGAGTCTGTTTGCAATTTCGCGTCTGGTTTGGTAAAGCTGGGGCATCAGAAAGGGGAGCGTGTGGCTATATTTGCCGATACACGTGAAGAATGGTTCATAGCTTTACAGGTATATTTAACATTGACAGCTTAACAAAGGAAGAAAAAAAAAAAAAAANAGAAAAAAAAAAAAAAAACCTCAATTATCCTTCAGAATCACACATACTTGTTATTTTAGTTTGATATTTGTAATATTGTGTGAGGTAGTTGTAGTTTTCTGTCAAATTAGAATGGTTCTTGGTAGTTTTTGTAATAGTCCCTTCATTAAATCCAGTATAACTAACTATAGAATGAGAGAACTTCATTAAATCCAGTGTGAACTATAGAATGAGAGAATATGTTAATTGGTTGAAAGCACTAATTTGATTAATTGCTTTCTTTTTATCAGGGTTGTTTCAGGCTCAATGTTACTGTTGTGACAATTTATGCATCTCTTGGTGAAGAAGCTCTGTGTCACTCGTTCAATGAGGTCTCTCTCTCTCTCTCTCTATATATATAAATATATCTTTCTCTTTCTCTATCTAACTCAAGCGCACACTAGCACTAGCACAGACTAGAGAGCTCTTGTTTTTGAAAGCATGTAATTTCTAATAAATTGTATTTTTTTAAACAAAACGGGAGTTAGTCTACTGCTGTGTAATGACTTATTTCTTAGCTTTTCTGGTTACTACCTAAAGTCGATAGCTTACATCCCTTCATATATATATATAGATATATATTGGTTCATAAATTTAAACATCCTTAAACAAAGTTTTCCCATTGTTAATCTTATCCTTGGTGACATGTTCTCAAAATAAATAATAAAAAAAGAAAAATCTTCCTTTTTCTTCTTCTTCAGACAGAGGTCACGACTGTGATTTGCGGATACAAGGAGCTGAAGAAAATAGCCAACATAAGTGGACAGCTGGACACCGTGAAGCGAATAATATGCATGGATGATGAATTTCAGTTAGATGGTTCATTAACTTCTGGAAGTAGCAATTGGACTGTCACGTCCTTTTTGGATTTGGACAAGTTGGGCCGTGAAAATCCAGTCGAACCAAACATGCCCCTTTCGGCCGATGTTGCTGTGATAATGTACACTAGCGGCAGTACGGGAATGCCTAAGGTCAGTATTCAGCTTTGTTATTTGAGCAAAGTTTGATATATCCGCTCAAAATGAGTTTTTTTGGTTAACCAGAGTTTATTTGATAAAAATGTGATATAGTTAGTTGTTAGTAGGATTTTGAATTATATTAGAATAATATTTAAAATAAAATAATTAAAGTTGGTTTGATGTAAAAGTAGGAGATAAATGATGTGAAGTGATTGGTAGTTAAAATTATGTGAGTGGATAAATAGTGAATTAAAACTTGATGTGATGTGTAGGAATAATTGATTGATATTATTTAATTATATTAATAATATTGGTGACAATGGGGTTGAGTTAAAGTTGAGTTAGATTTTAAGTATGAATTGAGATTATTTGTATACAAACACACCCTTTGCTTAATTGGATTGTTTTTCTCTCTTTTGTGCTCATCTTGGAAAAAAAACTCATTTGTCTTGGCTGTGGTCAATACTTCAAGATATTCTTTACATTTCTCCTCGTTTTTTTTTATTCTTAGCTATTTATTTTTGTAAGTTCAGAAAGAAGCATTTCGACATATTAGTGAGGACACACATAAGTAGCCATAAATGTTTTATGTTGTCTTGTAATAATCAAATTGGTAGGTAAATTACGACTAGATATAAACTGGTTCATCAATTATATTTGATTCTTCTTGGCTCAATGTCTTGATAATCGACATTTTTTTTCACTCGTACAGGGTGTGATGATGACACATGGTAACATTTTAGCCACAGCTTCTGCAGTGATGAATATGGTGCCTGGACTAGGAAGCAAGGAAGTTTATTTAGCTTATCTGCCACTTGCTCATGTTCTTGAATTAGCAGCTGAGGTACTATGTAACTTAGGGCTCGCTTGTTTACAAAATAATTCGTTCAAAATGAGTTATTTTGGTTAACTAGAGTTAATTTTGAAAAAGTTGGTATGTTTAGTTGTTAGTGGGATCTTAAAAATGTATTAAAATAATATTTAAAATAAAATGATTAAAATTGATTTGATGTAAAAGTATGAAATAAATGATTGGGAATGATAGGTAGTTAAAATTATGTGAGTGGATGAATAGTGAATTAAAGTTGATGTGATGTGTAAGAATGATTGAGTTGTATTATTTAATTTTATGAATAATATTAAAGATAGTGGGGTTGAGTTAAAGTTGAGTTAGATTTTGAGTATGAATTAAAAGTGAATGAAATAATTGATAAACAAGCATGCCCTTAACTTTTTATGTACTAAACTAAGATCTTTTTTTTGGGGGGGTTTATTCATTTTATTTTATCCTTCATTTTTGTGTTAATAAAGAATTATCATATATCTGAGTTATTATAATTCCAGAGGCTTTACTGCTTGAGTTTTGGTAAAATATCATTGTATTGCAGATTTAAACAAATATTCAACCTCTTTCTCAAATCCTTCTATTCTTAACAATCAGATGTAATTTTTTTTTTTTTTTTTNTTTTTCGACTGTAGAATATCGTGGCTGGCATTGGGAGCTGTATAGGATATGGGACTCCTTTAACTCTTACAGATACTTCGAATAAGATAAAGAAAGGAACAAAAGGTGATGCTACAGTATTAAGGCCGACAATTATGGCAGCTGTGCCAGCTATTCTTGATCGCGTTCGAGATGGTGTCCGCAAAAAGGTACAGAGAGAGAGAGGGAGAGAGTCTTTAGAAATTGGCTTCTGAGAGGACTAACTCTGCTAGTCAAAGCTGCGTGACCAAAATCTTATTTGTGATTATACTTATTTGTGATTATACACTCATTTTTTCTTATTTAGAGATTTTTGGGTATACTCTGATTTATATAAACTTTACATTTTTGGTGAAACTTTCAGGTAGATTCTACAGGCGGGCTCTCGAAGAAACTATTCGATTTGGGGTATGCTCGACGGTTTTCTGCAATAAACGGAAGTTGGTTTGGGGCATGGGGATTAGAGAGGTTTCTATGGGACCTTTTAGTGTTTCGAAAAGTTCGGGCGATTTTGGGAGGTCGCATCCGTTTCATATTGTCTGGAGGGGCTCCTCTTTCTAGCGACACTCAAAGATTCATCAATATATGTCTTGGGTTAGTATACTCCATAATTTTGATTGTCGTTTAATATGTATAAATAATTTATACACGTAACACAGAATATNAGCTTTGTGTTATTGTTATTGATAAACATTATTAATATGAGCTTCGTGGTTTTTAATTCTTTATCTCACTTAAATTAGGTAAGTTAGCTAACTTATAACTGATAGTTTATGGCTGAAAAGCTGGCTGATATGGTAAAAGTATTAGGTAAAATTAGTTGATAAGCCAACTGAAATAAAAAATTCAATGGGCTTATTTGAAAATCTATCCAAAGAAGCTTATCAGATAAGCTCGAGCTTTTTAAAAAAGTTCGTCCTACCAAACTGAGTTTATTTGTTGTATACAGAAAGCTTTTAAGTTAACCAAATAAGCTATAAGCTAGCTTATGGGCCTTACCAAACACACTATTAATATACTTGGGATTAATGTTAATCAACTTTCACTCTTTGGTTTTTAGTGCTCCAATTGGTCAAGGGTATGGCCTTACTGAGACCTGTGCCGGTGGGACGTTTAGTGAGTATGATGATACATCTGTTGGTCGTGTTGGTCCTCCATTACCTTGCTCAATCATTAAGGTAAACTTGATTCAATTTAGTCTGAACTGAATTTATAATCTTGCATGGAAGGCCTTTTTAGGCAAAATGCATATTTAATACTCTTGGTTTAACGTCATAGCAATTTTAGTCCTAAGATTCCAACTTTTCGCCTTTTAGCCTTGTGATTTAATATTTTGCTCCAATTTCAGTTTTCAAAAGGAATGAAATTGCAACAAAATTTTAAGTTACAAGACTTAAATTATCAATCGAAAATCTGAGAAATTGGGAGTTTGTTGCAATTTACTGAAATTGCATCAAAATATTAAACTACATGAGCAAAAAGCTAAATGTTGGAACATTGGAACTAAAATTGCTATGGCGTTTAACTAGCGAGACTAAAAATGCAATTTTGCCGCCTTTTTTAAAATATTTCATACTATTCAACAATATTGTCAATATAACTTTGTCAAATTTCAGCTGGTCGATTGGCCTGAAGGCGGATATTTAATAACCGATTCCCCAAAGCCACGTGGAGAAATAGTTATTGGCGGACCAAATGTGACTGTTGGTTACTTCAAAAATGAGGAGAAAACAAATGAAGTGTACAAGGTAATGTGTGTATTTCACAGTAATTCTTCACTCAGGTCATAATCTTGCAAACTTTCAAATCAAAGCATACGACTTAATTCCTTAAATTTTAATCTTCCAATGCCCAAAAGGTGGACGAGAGAGGAATGAGGTGGTTCTATTCTGGTGACATCGGGCAATTCCATTCTGACGGTTGTTTAGAGATAATCGATCGTAAAAAGGACATTGTTAAGCTTCAGCATGGGGAATATGTTTCCCTAGGAAAGGTACAAACTACAAAGTGTAGAACGTTTTGGATTTTTTATGAGGCAATAAGTTGCTAAACAGTCCTTGAGGTTTAATCTAATTCTGAAAAAGCTGGNTTTTTTTTTTTTTTTTGTTAATTATGACAAAATACAAAACAAATACAAATCTCAGCAAGTTAATATCTTTGGTTGCGGTGAGGATACAAATTCGAGGATTTACAAAATTATTCCTGAAGTTCGTTCTTAGTACAACTTCAAAACCCCTGGCCAGCTTTCGAAATTACAAGATCTCAGAAGTTTTAGGCAAAATTGCATTTTTAATCCTGCTGGTTTAAAGCCATAGCATTTTTAGTCATTTGAGGACTGAAATCGCAACAAATTTCTAAATTTCCAGATTTTCGATTAGCAATTTAAGTTCTGTAAATTAAAATTTTGTTGCAATTTCAGTTCTAGGACTGAAATTGCAGCAAAATATTAACTTACAACACCAGAACGCGAAAAGTTGGAATGTTGAGACTAAAATTGTTGTGACGTTAAACCAACAGGACTAAAAATGTATTTTTGCTGAAGTTTTATTGTTACATCCACCCCTTCGACATTCGTAGAGATATTAGAATCAGACCCCCCTTTTCAAACTATGTTGAAATGAAATTCAGTCCTTTTTAGTAATCTCTTAAAATTAACCGAGTTCGTATGTAGTTAAGCTGAAACCCAGGGATTGATTTTGTAGTTATCCATATTCTTGTTTGTCTTCCTGTTGAATGAGAATTCTATAATGCTCTGACATTTTTTTTTTTCACTTGCAGGTTGAGTCTGCTCTTATTGTAAGCCCGTATGTCGACAACATAATGTTACACGCAGATTCTTTCCACAGTTACTGTGTGGCCTTGTTGGTGGCCTCACAGCCCTCTTTGGAAGCCTGGGCCACACAGCAGGGGATTACGTACTCCGATTTTTCAGAACTGTGCCAAAAGGAAGAGGCCATCAAAGAAGTCTCCAATTCATTAGTCAAGGTACTTTATTTCACCTCACGAGTTTTTGGGGTAATTTCAGAAAATACCCCTCCATTTTTGCTGGACTGCAAAAAGATCCAATCCCTTTTTACAAAATTGCACTCTTCGATAGGGGAACGTTTGTAATTCTCGAAGGGGGTTGTTTGTAATTTTGTAAAGATGGCTGGAGGACATTTGTAATATTTGATTCCCTCAGGTGTGTCAATTGGGAAAATACGACGATAGTGACTAGGATAGATAGCTCAAGAAAATTACTCATTTTTTTTCTTTAATCCCGTTATCTTTGAATTTCGTTTAAATTGTTTATATACAGGCGGCGAAGGCTGCAAAACTGGAGAAATTCGAGATTCCTGTGAAGATCAAGTTGCTGTCTGAACCTTGGACTCCAGAATCTGGGCTTGTAACTGCTGCTCTCAAGCTCAAGAGAGAGGTCATTAGAAAGACATTCTCAGATGATCTTGCCAAGCTATATGAATCATGATTGCTGAAAAAAAAAAAATACTTTTTTTGCTGTATTTTTTCCTCACAGAATGCATAAATCTTGACAGCACCTTTTTTTTTCGGTCCTCCTTTCATGCTTTTATTTTGCCTTTTACTTGGAACGACCTAAAAATTTCTCATGCTCGAGTAATTTCAAGTGTGTTTGGTAAGCGCCATAAGCTACCTATATATTTTGTTAGTATATGAGCTTTCTATATTCAAATAAGGTTGATTTGAGTTGGACGGTTTTTTTTTTTTAAAAACTCGAATTTATTTTATAAGTTTCATTAGGTAGCTTTTTAAATAAGTCAATTGAAATTTTTATTTTAAAAATTTTAGCTAACACTTTTATCATATCAACTAGCTTTTCAACCATAAGGTATCAATTATAAGCTCAAATTCACTTATAAGTTATCAGTTAATTTATCAGTTATGTTTACAAAATACAATTTTCATCATTTTGAAGGATGAGACTAGTTGTTAATGCTCTATTAACGAAATACAAATTATTGGATGAGACAGTCAAAGATCAGGCGTTTCAACTTTGACATATTTTTCGAATAGTAGCCTTATGGATTATTTTACTAAGAAGCTTGACTAGTTAAGAACGGTAAAATGGTTAAAAGCATCTGAGCAACTCAGAATCGTGAATCTTGTTTGGTTTAACTGAAGTCTGTTTATTAAATCAGATAAAAATAAATAACTTTTTTCATGATCATTTGAGCTAAAGTCTTTGATCCGTATATATGTTTTAAAATGATCTTTCTTTTAAAACAACATCAATACTATGAGATACACAATCAGTATTGGTAATAAGACTCATTCTGAATTTTGTCACCACGAGATAAATCATAATTATTTATTGCCCAATTTTTTCATTAAATAAGAAAATATAGGGGGATAGGTGAGATCCAGCTGATTTGATAGCATTGAGTTGTTTTGAGTATTTATTAAAATTGCTAAAAAATATCATTGGCAAGAATTTATTTTTTCTTCCCCGGCTTGTCACGTAGCATTAGGAATTTTCGGTGTAGGAAAATCCAAAGAATACAAAATGAATAGTCCAAAGCATAAGATCCAAAGAACATACATGAAATATACACTCCAAATCACACAGAGACCATAAATTTGTAATTTAGTCATCAACTAGTATTTATATAGATGAAGGTCGAAAAGTGAAGATACTCAATGACCAAATGGAATAATTCAAAAGCCAAAATTGTATTTTTGGCCGAAATTATTCTCAAATTTGTAAAATTTTAAATCGTACGGGACTATTATTCATTAATTTGATTATATGGGATTTGACGCTGTCATTTCCTACGATACATGTGGAATTCCGATGAACGTTGTTATTACTTTGATCAATTTTAAAAAGATACATAACTACTATTGATCAACTATATATTCTATAAGACTACATTTGAAATACCCTATATATATAATTATATAATTATGGGATTACTTTATAAGTTTTCCTTACAATATAATAGTAACATATTATGTTCATAAATTATATAATATTATCTTAAAAACAGTCCTGTAATTTTTATATATGGCCATGTTGGCATTATATACTTCTCTAAATAAATTGATGTCTCTCTATATATATATTATACACACATGTACATACAGACACAAACCATATAATTCTATATATATTGATTATTGACAAACCCCACTATAAAAAGACCTATAACTTTAGCTTTTGACACACTTGACTTGACATATACATTACATATGCACACACCACACACACACACTATACAACACTATATAAGCTTTCATTTCTTCCTTTTCAACACTATACAACACTATAGATCCCTTGATTTCTAGAGAGAGAGAGAGAGAGAAGAAGAAAAATGAATGAGGGCAGAGAAGATCAAATATGGTGCTATTTTCACCCAAGAGAGATTGTCATAGGAATATGTGCCTCCTGCTTGAAAGAAAGGCTCTTAGTCTTGGCTTCAAAGCAAAAACAACATCATCATCATCATGTGCACCATATTCATACACCCAAGAGAGCACATCCAAAGATTTTTGCTCTTAGTAGCTTGATTGATCCTTTGGATGTTATGCACCACAAAAAATCAGATGATCATGCTTTGGATGACTATAGTTCTTCAACTAGTCATGAAGGTTAGTCACTCTCTCTCTCTCTCTCTCTCTCTCTCTCTCTCTCTCTCTCTCTCTCTCTCTCCCCCTCTCCCTCTCCCTCTCCCTCTCTCTCTCTCTCTCCATTTGATTATCTTTTTTGAGTTTATGATTATTCTTTGGATTAGCATTTGTGTCGTATCGCTAGGCACCCTAACAGTAGCATTTATGTTGTGACGAAGAAAGAAGCTCTAGTAGATAAATTAGACCGTCTAATGATTAGTCATTCACGATCTTTCAGACTTTCATACTCAAATGTCATACTTCAAAATAAAATATAAATAATAGTATGATATTTGTGTTGTAATATTCAAAGTGGCTGAGTTTTGTAATTAATTAAGCTAATCTTCAGGCACCATTTGTAATGTTGTCCTAATGAATATTCACATGTGTGTGCTTTTGATCACTTGAATCTTCATGTGAATGTTAATAGATAATAATTGCATTTTTTCTTAGATAGTTATGATTGTTGGATTGGGAGTTGATCATATGCACTAATTGAGAATTATGCACAAATGTATCTCACACTGTACTTCAGAAGATTAACAATTTATTACTAAGTTAAATCTAATAGTGTCCATTGATTGTGCAGTCTTGAAACGTATATTATAAATTAAAATGTGAAATGATTCCCCAAAATCCATACTAATAAGCATGTGATCATGCCATCATCTTAATATACCATTATTTTTAGTCTATTTTATGAGAATAAACTTTCACAAAAAGCTGCATATCTGCATATATAATCAATTACAAAAAGGAATAATTTTTCTCTGTTTTTAACACAATATGCTCTTTTTTGGGTATATTTTTGTGCTTTTTTCTTCTTTGAGTACTATTGTTAGAAGAGTCCTTTCCTAACTGGATATGAATTTAATATCCATGACAGATGCCTTTTTTTCATGAATTATCTAAACCACAATTGTCATACAATGACAACAAATTGCTATATTAAGCATTTCATTGTTTTTTTTTTCTTCAAAATAATATAATATTTTAACTCAAATTATAAATTGGCCACCTCATGCAGACTCCTTTATATCAATCAGATTTGAAGACAATCAAGTTGCCTCATGGGACAAAGGCAAAACTTCCAAACTCCCAAATGAGAACAACCAAATCAGACATCCTCAGCAAAATGACCATAACACCCTTAACAAGGCACACAAGATCAAGAGTGTAGTGGAGCACAGGAAAACACGCACCACGCTGAGGTGGCGGAAGCCGATTGGCCACCTGCTCCAGCTCATTAGGTGGAGAAGGTCAGCCAGCAAAGGCAATGGATCCCATGTGGGCAAAAGGCTTGAAGGGGCAAAAGTTAAACATGGGTGGATAAGAATTCTAACAAAGAGAAGGACCAAAGAATAAATAATTTTTTATTTTTAATTTTTTGAAAAAAAGGTATATGAACTAATGAAAGAGACTCCACATTGCTTTTATATCCTCCACCATTTGTGGGTTGGTTTGAATTTGAGGCTGAGTGTGAAAATAAAGTGATCATGGCATGCATAATTGATAAATGGTGTTTGGTTAATTAGAAAATATGCTTTATCACAATTATTAACAATTTCTTTTGCAATTTGCTTGTCAAGCTAAGAAGTAGCTCTTGATAGCTATAGTTGAAAATTAGTATTTACTAGGTCTTAGTGGAGGGAGCAAATATTTGTAATGATTTGTGGTTTGAAGCTAATAATAATAATAATAATAATAATAATAATAATAATAATAATAATAATAATAATAATAATAATAATAACAATAATAATAGGTGCAAGTAGAAGCCAATTTCAGGTACTCCAATGATGAAGGAAAACGCATTTTTTCCTAGACCATGTTCTCCTCTTATCTTCAAGAAAAAGTGACTATAAATGTTTCCATCATGATCATATATAGAAAAATGGCCCTACTTACCAATAAAATCATGGATATTTCTCAAAAAGAAAATTTGCTCACAAGTTTCACAAAATGGCATATGCATGTGCAAAGAAATCATGATAAGTTACAGTTTTCATCAGTCAATCAGTAGTTTGTAGCAAAGAAGTTTGTTGGGCAAATGTGTATCATATGTTGGCTCTTAATCTACCAATGGACAATTTATTTAGGACCACAAAAACTTGGACAATTAAATTAAATTAAAAGAAGAATAAGCAAAAAATTGAAGTGGCCTAGGGACTCCCTTTTCCATTTCATGAACTCAAGAACCTAGAAAAAAAGTGGCTTGCATAACAAAAGCACAATAGCTTTGTTTTTTGCTTTCAATTCACTTATTAGTTAAAGATGACACTTTTTTGCATGGTTTAGTTAAAGATGACACCTTTTTGCATGGTTAAGTCAAAAGGGCTTTTGGTTAGGCACATTGTTTTGTCACACTTTATGCAGTGTATCCAAATGATATAAAGAATGGATTAAATTATTGTATATGGTAAGACTTTAAGATAAATATTATAGCTCCTATCCTATACATGCACAACATAACACATGCTTTATTTTATATTTTTTTATTTATTTATTTTTCATTTTATTATTTTTTTCAANAACCAGAAGCATGTAAAGGAGTCATAATTTGTGTTGAATAGTGTCAATATCAACTTGGTCCTCTTTTTGTGTACCAAACACCCCAAATCATATGTGAATTATTTTGCTTAAAGCATATATTATAACTGCAACGTAATCAAACTCAAAGATTAGACATCCATCCTTTTTTATGACTGTCTACCTAATTAAAAGTATGAATAATTAGAAAAACTAACCTTGGAATTCAGACTAATTATCAAGAACCCCAGTTATATTTCAAAATTGTCAACTGAACCCATAAAGTGTTAGTCAGATAAACACAAGATATCTCCAGTCACAAATGCTCATGAGGTATCTGTTTATTTTATTTTTATTTTTTTTTCAAGAAGATGCAAATCTGCCAGCGAAAAAAATGTCTTCCCAAGTGTTTTGGAGATCAATGTACTTTCTGTAATCAGGTCAAGCAATTATGCAACTATTCGAAATTAACTCGTGTGCTAAAACCAGCCCATATGGATGTTTCAAAGAGAAAGAAATAATGAAATTCCAACTTTTTGTGAAAGATTATGAAAATTAACAACGGGCTGTGACTGTTAAGGATGATGTTTTTCAAGCAACCCATGCAAATTGAAAAAATTGGGAAATATCAAATAAGTCATGTTTTATAAGCATTCTGCAAGAGGATTCGCAGCTGATCGATGATAGTACATTTTTTTTTTTCTTTTCCTAATTAGCTATTAGAATGATCTTCATTGGGCCAGTCATAATTCTAGTCGAGCACCTCAAGTATGAGAAACAAAACTAACTCCTTAATATATTCATGAAAAATCTGTATATATACAAGAAATGCTCTTAATTACCAAAGATCTCAAAGTAAAGTACTTTTCTCCAAAGCATCTAATTAATCAGGAAGATTCATAACAGTGAAAAACAAAGAGCAAATATAATGTCAGACTAGAATAGAATCCGACCTATTGTTCGACAAATTCCTACATGTAGAAAACTATTTGCCACTGCTATGTGGTGTGTTCGAATTCTAATCGGCCAAATAAAAACTATAACAGGCCACATCTCAACAACTACCCTGCATATCCTTATTACCACCAAAGCATAAATTTATCTCTCAAAAACTTACATTCGTCCCCAAATTTTGCATCGACGAGTTATTTGTATTTATCCTTCACAGGAAAGACTTTTCTCATGCCTGCATGAAAAGTATGCTTCACTATGCCATCTTATGAAAATTGAAAAACTATGTTAGGGTATGAATTAAGAAAAACAACAACAAATCATTCAAGTAGCTTAAAACGTTCATCATCCTCGGCCCAATCGAGAACATTAGCCACATCAATTTCTTTTCAGTCAGTATAGTTTCTATCACAACAGCTATGTTTAACTATACAGGACAAGAAATTCAAGAAAATTGCTTTAAAAACAAAAACAAAATCGTCAAAGATTACATTTTTACTGCTTCTCAGGTTACGAAACGATGAATACTAAAAAGAAGTTGCCAAATTTTCGTCAACCCAAATCAATTCAAACAAGAAACAAGCTCTTACAACGCAACCACACTCAAACAAAATCACCATTAAAAAGAAAAAAAGAAAAAAAGAAAAAAAAAAGCCATCGTTCACCAGTAAGAGACGTCTCGCCGCGAAGCTGCAGATGAGTAAGAATACTGATCGTTCGTGTAATAACCAGTCGATGTCTCCATGATAATCCAATCGGCGGCTAAAAACGACGTCGGTTGCCGGCAAAGAACAGGGAATTCAGTGACAGCAAGATTTTCCAAGCTCGACAACTGTGATGGTTGCTCTTCGATGGGGTTAAGCAGCGAGTTCGAAGATTCATGGCAGCGATTATAGTTGTCAAAGGGAGTAATAGCAGGGTAGGGAACCGGAGAGAAGGGAGCCTTGATTGACTATGATGGTGTTTAATCGATTTGGATAAATTTGATATGTAGCAGCCGGAATTCCGCTTTGCGCATGGGAAAACAGAAAACTCAATTAAAATAAATTTTGTTTGATGGGTAAATATTGAATTAGTAAAAGTTCAATTAAAATGAAAAATTCTGAACTTCAAATTTAATTGTACATTAAGGACCTTTTTATTTTATTTTTTAAGCCATTGGGAAATATATGGTATAAAGAGAGATATTTCAAGTTAATGTTTCCACAATAACATGCTAGGAAGTGATTGTATTTTGGATTTACAATATCTTTTCCATTAGCTATTTGTCTAATAGGGGTTTGAATGGATCAAGCTAACTAGTACGTAACCTGTGCGATGCACGAGATGTAAAATTTGGAAGAATAATATAACCTCACGTGCTTTAGGATCAAAATTAAAATCATTAAAATACATAGGAACATTGTTGAATCATAAAAAGTTCGGTAACAATCATATATTATTAAAAACCTCTTTGTACACAACATTATGGTTTGATTATTTGGTAACTCCTCGTTATCACAAACTAATATTTTCAAAAGAGACAAATCCTAAAAATCAAACTAATATTTTTGGTGAACAAACTAATATTTTAGGATTGATGAACAAACTAATATTTTAGGATTTATAGGTTTGTCTCTTTTTGGTGAACAAACTAATATTTTAGGATTGGTTATATGAATAAGGCTACCTGTTTTTTGTGTTCTTTTCATTCATTTTCATTCAAACAATCTGATGACTTGTATAATGAAATCCGAATCTTAAGCCGAAATATTTAAAAAAAGAGTTTTTAAAAATTGAAAAGTCAAGGCAATCAGTTCAGATTAATTAAAGGTCAAAGAATATCCGCTCCTTGAAATAAAGACGTGTGCTATCATTAACCAAATATCCGGTTATTGATATAGAGTGGTTACCAAAAAATAGAACGCGACAAGGACGCTTCATGGAAATATCAATGAGATAAGGTCATAACAGATCGCTATACATTTTAACGATAAAAGCTCAGATGGAATGATTTATTATAATTATGTCGTAATTAATGAATTAATTAGATGTGTGAAAATGACACAATTAATGAGAAGTGTGAAAATGACATAATTAATGAGAAGTGTGAAAAGGACAAAAACTTACCAATTTTGAAAAATATTTAATGTAAATTCGACATTGATCATAATTTGACCTACTATTTTGAATAAAAGTTCATTCTTATTGTATAAGTATAGATGTAGATACACTCTCTCACTCTATTTCATCAGTTATTAAACAATTTAATTTAAGTAAACTCTCTCACTTTATGTAATCGGTCGTGAACTTAAAAATCTTTAATGGGTCATTTTAGGTGAGACTATCTCTCCAATGTTGTATGAAATACATAAGGAGACTCTATGGAGTCACTAGAATAATAGACTTCAATAAAACTCATGCTTTTATGACTTCAAATATTCATCCCTTAACATAATTCATCATCTAAACACCGTTGAAAATTTGAAATGTTAATATATGTGCACCGACCATTTTCAGGATCTCGTGATCTTTAAACCACACACTACCTCCTATTCATTTTAAATGTCATTTTAACTTTATCAACTATTAACAAATAGATGACGTTTTGAATTTTTCGTACATATTTTTCCATTATTAACATCATTTAGCTAATAAATATACACTACACCTTTTTATATTCACTCTTCATTTTTTTCCAAAAACATCTATCTCTATCTTCATTAAAGAGGGTTATTATTGGCAAAAAAAAAAATTATTAATTATTGTGCAACTTCTTAAAACGACACTTATTATGAATAGGATAAAGTACTTGTTATGTATGATATGCAAATTAAATTTTCTACCACATTAATTTATGAGCATATTGCTTTGGAGAATATTATATTATAAGATGCAATATTCAATAAAAGTTTATAATACGCAAAAAAATTGTACAATGTTCAAATACCCGTGCGAAGCACGAGATATATTTATTTGTTTTATGATTTCATAATATAAACAAATCTATACTTAACTTTGACAAATAAAACAAATAAATACTTTAGTAAGTATTTAATGTATATACTAAATAGGAATATATTTGGTATAATCAAATACCAAATATAATCAAATAAGTCAAAGTGTACATTTTTATTTGGTATTTGATTTTTTATTATTAAAATCTTTTTATTATACTTACCTTTTTAAAATAAAACAAATAAATAAATTACTTAAATAAATAAAATATTATAATACCAAAATAATAATGGCATTTAATGCAGTTGACTTTTCTGGATAGTAAATATAGTAAATAGAATCTCCTTTTATATAAGTATAGATTGTATAATACGGAAATAGTAATGCAATAAATGTTGTTGACTTTTCTTTATACTAAATCTGGTAAATGGTATACCTTTTAATATAAGTATAGATTTAATAAGAAAGTGTTGGGAGATTGTCGAAAAATGTCAATTAATTTTCTAGCAAATAACAAATTTGGACATACAAATGCGCAATTTGTGAATGTAAAATGACTTGAACGCTTGCCAAATCCAATGTTTTTTTTTTTTTTAATAAATCAGGATATATTTGATAAATATAGGTAAACACTATCTTATAACATATCTTATAAGTTTACTAATAACCTATAAGTTAATTTCGATATTACATTTAATAGCTTACGATTGATAGTTGAAAAACTAGCTAGTATAATTTAAGTGTAAGGGTAAAATTAATTGATAAATGAGTTGAAATAAAATTTTCAACACGACTTTTCTAAAAAGTCACACAAACAAACAAGCTTCTGTGATAAGTTTGAGATTTTCTAAATAATAATTCTATCAAACAAATCATATTTGAATACATGAAGCTCGTAAGTGCATGAAAAAGTTATAAGCTAGCTTAACAAAGTACTTTCCTGTACATGAAATGGGCTTGTCCAACTGTATTCTAACTGTATAATAAAGTCACATATTAATCTGAAAATGACATCTAGCAACATATTTGTCCAAACTTGTGAAGTGGGCCATTCGCATATAATATGGGCCATTTGCACGGCTTAGGCTTTTGGGCGGCTCGAGTTGGGTTAGTCCAATTGCCCAATTAGTTAGTAGACAAAAGAACATGGACATTGTGTTGTCCATATTCATTTACCCAACTTATACATTTGTTTCGGGTCGGATCGCCACGTTAAGAAGAAACGGGTCAACCCGTTAATCGAGCTATTGCCCCCATTTACGGGAAAAAAAAGCTGTCTTTCAGATATTAATTACCGGCGACAAATCGTTCCCTTGTTTTCGTCTGCTCATCGTTTTCCATATTCCGACGGCGCTAACAGTCGCATAGCCGGAGATTTTTCTCACCAGAGCTGGTGACAGTCAAGCTACGTACAATTAGCATGTTCAATGGCTTCAGGTGAGCGAAATTTGTTCGCAATTTCACCTGTATGATTAGACACGCACCCAATTATGGTGAATTTTTGTCTACTGCTTTTTTTTTTTTTAGTTTTTGTTAATGTAAATTTGGTGGCTACAATCGATGTTTGTGGCTATGGCCTTGTTGGTGAAACTGTTTGAGTGCTTTCTAGAGAAATGCAAACGTTGAAGGGAAATCTATATGGGGAATTATATGATAATGGCCCTGATTGAATTAAATCTTTTTATTAACTGATTTGATTAGATGATATGTAGAGATTTTTGGGATTTTTCGAAAGTAGTGTTTTTAATCCAAAAAGGTCATTTCAAACTGCTACATACCAAATAGTAAAAATAAGGTTCTGAGGTGTCAAACCTTCAATTCATCCTCAAACGTATAATTTGCCCCCCAAACTTTTAATTATAGTTTATTAATAATCATCATTTTGGTTCTCTCTGGTTTTGGACAATAATTTCTGAGCAACATTGTTTTTCATTAGCAGATGATGTAAAACTTGCAGCTGAGCTTGAGGCATCTACGCTTATGAGAGCTGCTCAATTCTTGGCGACTAAAAGGCCATGGCTTGGTAATTGATTTGTGTATATGAAACAACGTTTGCCTGTTACGTGTTCAGTCCAAATCTTATGTTGCCTGTACAATTTTTCTCTCTCCCTCAAAAGTGGTGGTCGTGATGTCTGTGGTCTTTACTGAGTGTTAAGTGGCTTTAATATGATCGAATGTTTTGGCTTCTTTTTACGACAGATCTTTATGGGATCAATGTGAGGCCGGTGGCTCCTTTTGCCAGTTTGGCTAGAAAACCATCTTTGGATACAGCCCTTATACATCGCAGCTTGCCTGATGAGCTGCTTTTAGAGGTATTACCAAAGTAGACTCTTGTTTGATAAATTGTTTTTTTTTCCCATAATATTCTCATGTTTTACATGCTTTTAATTGTTTAAAAAAAAAACAACGACTATGAACATTAATTTTTGGGGATAACAAACCTCACAAACCTGAGAGGAATGACAATCCTGTTCGAAAGATTGTACTATTTTGTTTGTGTAAATGTATATTATATGTGTTAACCTTTTGATATACTTCTGTCAAGATATTCTTGAAAATGGCTCCTTATACACTGGGGAGGGCAGCTTGTGTGTGTCGAAAATGGAGATATACGATCCGTAGTCCTGTGTTCTGGCGTATTGCGTGCTTAAAGGCCTGGCAGGTCCGCTCTAGAACGGATGATAATCTTTTGATATATAAATTTTGCAATTCCTTTTCAATTTCGAATTTTGGGTTTCGCGCTGTAGGTCTTTGGGGTGTTGGAAAATTATAAGATTCTACAGTCTGAATATCATGGGTCGTGGAGGAGAATGTGGCTTTTAAGACCAAGACTACGAACAGATGGTAACATCACTTTCTCTGGAAATTATTATTTCACTTTTCTTTTGTCATTGGAATAATGACTTTGAGGTTAGATTTGCATCTCTTCAAAATTGTTCTTGCAAAAGTTAGGAGTTCTGCTAAGTTTTTTGTACGTCTTTGTAAAAACTCGATATATTGTTGATTTATTGTAACCCTTACAACTTTGAACANAAAAAAAAAAAAAAAAGAAAGAAAAGGAAAAAAGTCGATTCTTGCCTAATTGAAGGACTTTAGTTGACGTTCCCCACGAGCACCAGTGCTAACAGAAAGTTTCTTACCAGTTGTAGCATATAGTTGTGATTCCATTCTGGTCTTATACACTGTGTCAAACTTTTTCCAGGCCTTTATGTCAGCCGGAATACCTATATTCGTGCTGGGGTTGCAGAGTGGAAGATCACTAATCCTGTGCATATTGTATGTTTTTATCTGGCTTTAGTGTGTTAGTTTCTCATAGACACGTTGTCATTTTTTTCTGTTAAGCTAAAACCTATCTAAAGTTAAGATTTCTGTTCGAAATGCGCGTTTAATGAGATAAATGGATAATGAATGGAGACATGATGGTCCTATTGTTTTCATGTGTCTTTTAAGAACTTATGACTTGGTTCAGCCCCAAAATGGTGAAGACACCAGAACCACCTGGTATAATGTGTGTTTTTTTCCTCGAAAAAATAAAATCTCTAGAAGAAGAAAGCACTAAAATGATGTTCTAAATTTCCAATATTAGACAGTGCTACATGTAAGTATTTATAGTTAAACACATCGAACTCTTTAGTTCTTCGCTAACTCTTTATATTACAACATATTGTGCAATGAGAATTTTCCTAATTTGTTTCGCAGGTTTGCTATTTCCGGTACTTACGATTTTATACTTCTGGAAGATTTCTCTACAAGGTCTTATATTCAACATTTTTTTTGGTTTCTTTCATTTTCTTATTTATATCTTGGTAGAAAATTTTAACAATTTGGGAGTTTTAATCGAAGGAAATATCTCATTTGTTACATTCTTTTTTCCCATTTCCTTGACGTTGTCAATAGAATTCGTGGCAAAAAGTGAAAGATGTGGTGAAGAACATGAATTTCCGTGCTTCAAAAGTGGATTGTTATAGTGGACAATACACACTCTCTGAAGATAAGGTGAAAAGTCCACTTAGCTGTTTTCGCATTTGTATTGTTTTTGTTTGGTCTCTTGTTACTTTTAACCAACACAAATGAAGGATTTATTTAGTTAATGTGTTGTTCACCATGTAATGCAATGTTTTATCCACTTCGTCATGTATTTGTAAAATTTTCCCTGAATGGAAATATGATTTTAGCCTATCCATTTCCAGGTTGAAGCTGCTCTTTTGTATCCTGGCATGCGCCCAACTGTGTTAAGGATCCGCTTGAGGTACTATCTGAAGTTGCCCCTTGTCTTTTGTCTGTTCTCAGAGATATAAATAATGTGAAATGTGGATTATATGATTGATTCTGTACCTTAAAAATTCGAGACAGCTTTATTTACGGTAAATCGTTGCTCGTAAGCTCTGGAGAAAAAAAAATGTGACTACCAAAATATTAATATTATTTATGTTGAGATAACTTTGCGTACACATGTTTTTGTAAGATATCCTTGTCGATTATGAATAAAATATGGACGAATCGAAAATTTATAAATATTGTTAAGCTTCCATCTTTCGCAATTTATATATTCTTGTATTTCGAAAATAGGTTAAGAGGGACTGCACAGGGAGCTAACAATAGGATGGATCTCCTATCGCTTGTAACGAGTGGCGTGAATGATGCGGAGGCTAGTGGGCCCGGTGATGACATCCTTGGAGTAGTCGAAGGGTGGCAAGAAAACGAAACCCATAACCCAGATGTCCCCGCAACTTCACATAGAAGGGGTCTTAGTCCATTCGTATTTGTCTCATTCGAAGAAGTAAGTCTTTTTCCCCCTTTGACTTTTCATCGTCAAAAAGTTTGTAATATGCATTATATGATGGTGTACTGTGACAAATGAAATTCTGTTTTAGCATTTTTAACCATTATTTAAGAGTGTTTTCGTTTTTGAATTTTTCGGTGTACAGCTTTCACGTCCTTTCACTTGTTTTTTCGACCGTCTTGAAATTGATGTGTACTGTGGCAAAAGAAATTATGTTTTCTAAGTTCTCTTTAGATTGCAAGTCGGTTTCTGTTGCGAAATGGGAATCCTTGTTCTGCATCAGAATCATTCATTTACGCCTAATTCCTTGATATGTTTATGTNAAACGTAAATTTGCTTAACGAGTACCTTCCCACTATAACTCAGATTGCTCAATGGAGATTCGTATAATTAGCTTGAGATTTATTCTATATTTGATATTTATTTAGATACTTTCTTTTCACCTTTTAACTTGGTATATGTTACAGGCTGAGACATCTGTACTGAATCTTCCAGTGGACAAGATGGATTACTTTGTACCTGGCTGATTTTACCGAATCTATCTCGAATGCATTTGTACATTAAAACCATGTGTTAGAGCTTCTTGTTGAAGTTCTGTAAGGAGAACATGTATTGCAATTTGCAGCAGATAAGGTAAGTCTGGGTTTGGTGTGCTCGACTTTTCCAGTGTATTTATATTTGGCTCAATAAATAAAATTGTACAGAAATATATAATGTAAGTGGTACATTTGTTGTTTGTGTATTGTGATGTGATTATTCGGATTGATAATATTATAGTTGCCATAGAATATATTTTACTTTCGCGTTACTGTTCATCGGATTTCTCCATTTCTTTTTTCTTTTTATTCGTTTTGGATCTTGAATTGTCAGTTGACACGTCTTTTGGTCAGACAAAAAAGAAAAAGGGTTTCAAGCGATTAAAGAACAACGCACGAGATAAAAATGGGTTACATGAACTTTTTCCAGTTAGCTTGGATATAAAAATTTTTGCTCAAAATGATTTTTTTTAGTTAATCAAAATTAATTTGAAAAATTAAAGTATGATTAATTGCTAGGTAAATTTTTGAGTTTATATTAAAATAATATGTTAAAAAAATTATGAGTAGATAAATAATGAATTAAGATTAATATGATATGTAAGAATAATTGATTTATATTATTTAATTATATTGATATTATTGATGACAGTGAAATTGAGTTAAAGTTTACTTAGATTTTTAATTGTATTGAATATGAAACAAAATATTTGGTATTCAAGCAAAGCTCTAAATAAGTCAATCCAGAAACTCTATCCTCTTCACATTTTCTGTTCTTTCACTCATCTTCGATGATCGGCTCGTGTAACAAGTGTCACAATTTACGACAAAACACGACGTATACATTACTACTCTACCAACAAACTATCATTAAAGAAATTCAATCCATATATGAAACTTTGTGCATCTCTCATTCGTGATGGTCATGATGACCTACCTTCGGTTTTCTTTCTCTTCTGTAAGCGTTAAAAAGATCAATCCCCAGAAATATATTGAGCAGATTCATTCCCGCCATTCCAAATAGAGCAAGTGGAAGCTCGATACCCTTATCGAACTTGGGAGCATCTCTAACCAGCTTGAACGTGATCAAAATATGAGGCAATAATCTGGCAAATACAAATGTGAACCAGTTGAGAACCCACTCGACTTTAACGCTCTCGGAACTCGCGTCACGAATGCCGGCCATTCGTCGTATTTTTCGGACGTGAAGAAATATCGAGTGTAGCTGCAGCAAAACAGTAATATGGTAAACAAAAATCAAAGATCTATTGCAAAAACTATCTATGAGTAGTAGTTTAACTTAGAAAAGAAAAAGGTTTGTATCAATAGAAAACTGCAAACACACACTTATAAAGGACATCTAATCCCCGTATTATGAGTGCGAATTTCTGAAATATCAGTGGTATTTGTGATTTCGGGAGATAGTTTTTTCATAGATGTGCTCCCAATCTCCCATGACATGTCTGAAACATTAATTAAGTGTTAACCACAAGCAGTTAATCACCAGACGAAAAAAAAGGGCAGCTTTTTACGCAATCACGAGTACCTCCACAAAGGCTACTTCACATTCGTATGAAAAACTAAGTGAATCAATTCATAATGTCAAACCTTAAGAATACTTTGCAATTTATACCTAAAAACAACATTGGTCAACTGTATAATGGCCTTGTAAAATAATGTGGGTACGAAAACCTTGAGGTGACTGAAATGAGGATAAATTAAAAGCCTCACCTCGCAAATAAGGGTGAGGATAAGGTAGTTGATCGTGACCTTCCGGTACAATGCCAGGGTAAAACAAACGAGGAGCACCAAGTGATGAACAAGAATTGACGGGATCAAACCACTGTACAACCGGTAAAGCAACATGTCCAACTGGTCATATGCGAAGTAACCAGATGAAAAGCATAGGGCCTGGTAAGCTAAAGCCCAATATGCCTCCACCAATTGTGAGTGTTCAAACATCTTGTTGAAATCGATTCTTGTTGACTGATTGAGCAATATCAAAACCACTGAAAACCCACGTTACGAAATATGTCAAATGGAAAGAAAACTGAGAAGAGTTCTAATACAATAATAGTTTATCAAAGTGTAAAGAATTGCAGCTGCCAATAGAAACTATGCTAATGTTCATAATAGCTCAGAAAAATTCAAATTGCCGGTTTAAGAAACCATCCACCGTTCAAGCCATATCAACAAACTGCAGTCAAAATTTAGCTTCTAGCAAACTGAATCCTAACAACTTCATAAAATTGATTCGAATTTGTGGCAGCCAAAATTTTAAGGTGCGTTTTAACTTTTAGGTACTAAAACCATTGAGCGTCAGCTAACAAACAGAATCACAGCTCAGAACGAAATTTATCAAAAACTAGACATAATCAATCAAACACCTTGCTAAGTGAAAAAGCAGAAAAAGGGGAAAAAAAAATCGTAGCTCGAATTCGAAGCTGACCGAGGGCGGAGGTGATTGAGGAATGGAGGAGCGAGATGCACGTGTTGACGAAGAGCGGGTCGCGCGAAACGAGACTCCGAACGACGGCGTTTGCCGATTGGAAGAAGAGGAACCCTAACGGGATGGGGATGAGCTCCGACCGCTTGTTGAAGAGGATTTCGAAGAAGACCGAGACGGTCCACATCACTAAGGTGGCCGTGAAGAACACGCCTGCTTTGGTTTCTCTTTTGCTCCGACCGCCGCCGCTTTCTCTCGGCATTGTTTTTATAGAATCTCGGCGGGGCAGTTTATCCCGTGTTATCTACAGTAATGAATTGAGTACTGTGTGAAGTGTGATATAAAGGAATTTTGCAATTTTTTTTTAATTTTTTTATTTTAGGGAAAATATGCAATAAATAGGTTAGAGTTAGATATATACTTATTTATTATCTTTAAGTAATGAAAATTGCAATTAATTTACCTCTCAATTCTTAAATGCTTGGCAGTTGGCACATGCCTCCCTACCACTTGGTAGTAAATAAATGTTAATTAAGAATTTTATAAAACAAAATTTTTGAAAAATAAAAATAAAAATTTAATATTAATAGAAGTTTTAATTTATATAGGCTCCTGTCACATTATATTAGTTTTTCCATTGTATATTATATGATATTATTTATCAATATTTTTTATTAAATTAGGTTTGATGTATAAATTTGTTTTAATTATTTGATACCAGTTTTATTATTTCCCAATTAGGAGTCTAAATATGTTTATTAGAAAATGTAGTTATATTTTCTTATTTGTATACATAATATGAATATTAAATTGAATATCGTCAAAATGTAATAATTTATATATAATATTGATATCAAATCGAATATAGTAGAAAAAAGAAAATACTTTAATATATTACATATTGAGAACTGATAACAAACGCAAAATTTATCAAGTTCTAAAATGTATATATATATATATATATATATATATATATATATATATATATATATATATATATATATATATATATATATATATATATATATATATATATATATATATATATATATATATATATATATATATATATATATATATATATATATATATATATATATATATATATATATATATATATATATATATATATATATATATATATATATATATATATATATATATATATATATATATATATATATATATATATATATATATATATATATATATATATATATATATATATATATATATATATATATATATATATATATATATAAAGTTGATAAATGATTTATAATTTCAAAAGTCCTAGTATAATTTAGTAAAAGTTAAAATCTACGTGAACTGCTACAAAGTATGAAAAACTGAGACATGAAAAGCAACGAATGATATGAACTCGATGTACTTATATATGAGGGATATTATTTATTTATTTATTATATATTTTCAAATTTACAGTTCTCAATGTTTTTATTTTGATAATAAATAATTAACTCACATACTTTTAATTTCTAAAATTTTATTATACTAATATTTTTGACCTTTTTCTATCACTTGAGAGTAGTTAATAGTGGTTCAAATAAACAGCTTCTTAGATTTTAGTGGCACCATGTTTAAAACACTTTTTCTAAGACGTTGTTTACGTAAACAGTTTTTCTAAGACGTTGTTTACGTTTATTTTTTCAAATCAGTGCGTGATAAATAAATTGAAGTCCAAAGTACTATTTTTATGTCATTTTTTGTCAATACTTTTCTTAGTGACCCGACACCCATTTAAATTGTTATGTGCACATAATTTTATACTTATTCACTACCATAAATATTTTACATATATATGAAAAATGTAAAAAAAATGGTAAGTATTATTATCAATTTATAACCAAACAATATAAAATATAATAAATACTACAATACTACTATATATATAGGACTCGTCGTAAATCAATATTAACCCTTAGTTAGCTTGCATTCAATCATATATTATATGATACATTTTAAAATATTTGGCCAAATCTAGATTCAGTCTAGAACTTTTTAGTTTTTACCAATTCCAGACTAATATTATTATTGTTATTATTTTTTAATGTATAACACATTATATGGTATATTTTAAAAGCATGAAGTATAGTTGTTTAAATGTTAAAAACGTTGTTTGCGTGTAAACATACATCCTAACAAACAACATTAATTATGCATATGTAATTATTTATATAGTTACAGTCTAACAGAGAAAGGTTCCGAATATTTCTATATGATGCCAAACAGAAGTTAATATCGGATCATCGAAAATGAGAGATACCCAGCCAAAAAAAATTTTAGTGGTCTACAATAAATAGCAATGGAATTTAGAAAAGCGAACTTGAAAATTAAATGAAGAAACAGATGAAGAAGATACCTTCACTATCCTAGCTGGCCAATTAAGAAAAGAAAGATATCATCAAATATGAAAGTGAACAATGCCGCATTTATATTTTTTCCACATAGCACATCATTTAAATTTTAAATTTTATGTGACACTTAATATGTTTTTCAAGTTGACCCAAGTACTGGAGATGCTCTTAGAATCATCTGCAATGATTCGAATTCGTTTTTACATGGATGTCATGATAATAATATGTTTAAATCTTGAATGATGTGAAGAAATCAAAGAAACGAAAAAAAAAATCATGCCAACTCTATAAAATACTATACTAAAATACATAGGAAATATTATACTAAAATAATAATTTTTTTTTCATGTCGATTCATTAGGTCAGCGGCGGATCCAGAAATTTTTACGAGACAGGGCAAAAAATAGTTGAAATTTTTTTTAACCATATTGCACAAAGTACTTATATTAAAAATTAAATAAATTATTGAATCAATTGGGTCTTGATGAGTTTCCTATTCAATATGTCTTTGAATTGATGCTAAAAACTGAAATGGAGAATGGGGTCTGGTTATTTGATTTCACGTTTTAATTGTTATTAATAAATATACAAAAGATATTATACAATCCCGGTTTCATAATTTTTTGTATAAGTTATATAAGTTATATGTAAACAATTCATTTTGAAATAAAATTTATTAATTGAAAAAAAAAAGTCTTATTGTCATCATTTTAGGTTATGTCATTTTATGAAGAGTTCTTTATGGGTTATCTTCTTACATATAAACTAGTGTGTTGCCCGTGCGATGCACGAGAAAACAATATTACGATTGTATTATAAATTAAATATATAAATAACATTAATCATGATTTATTCATTGTTTTTAAATTAAACCGGGTTGGACACAATTTGATCGAATGGACCGAAAACCGGTTTATAACCAGTCTAGTTCGCTTGAATAAAATATTTGCTTTCGAATCCGTCAACACCAGTCGGTTGGACTGGTAGGATCGATACGATTTTCTAAATAAATTTTGTTATATTTAAAGTTATTTTAAATAAAATTACATATTTAAATAAAGTAGAGATTTATAAATTATTTATCACTTAGTTTAAACATTTGAAATTATAAATTGCTTAGACATCTAAGTAACACATTTTATTTAAATTTATTACAAAAAGTACTATATATATATATATTAAAATATTTATAAATTAAAATCTGAACAAACAACAAATGATTTAATAAAATAGCTTGATCGTTTTGATGACGGTCCAGTTCTGAAAACCTTATATTTACTGTACATTAATAAATATTGTAATAAAATATTTAATTCACATAAATATTATAAAATGATATATAAATATTCATAAATCATTAAACATGTTGTCATAAAAGTATTTTTAATACGACTATTTGAAGTTTGGACTACATCGCATTCACGTAATAAAATATTTTCAATATAAAATTTATATTTAGGTTCAATAATCGATTTGGTGTGGTCGAACTGATACATAACTTAGTCACCTGGGACCAACCAAATTGTGTCAATTTTTTTGACTATTTTAAATATCACATAAAAGTAATTCAATCAACCTGGGCAGGACCCTAATTCAATATTGACCTGAAGAAATTTTCTTATTTTCTTTAAATACATTTAATTTTATGAAATACAAATATTTTATGATTCATATAATAAATGTCTACACCAAATGATAGTATATTAAGATTATAAATTATATATCTAAAGATGAATTAATTATTTTTATTTTATGCATATTAATAAAAAATAAACATAGTAATTTAAAAAAAATTAAGATTAATTAATTGATTATGCAATTTAAAGAATATTTTTAGCGTTCAATATTTTTTTAAAGACACAAATATAAAGACCGAGATTCTAAAACTTTTGTTATATTTTGAATTGAGATTTTATAAATATAGAGACCGAGATTTTAATGTTGTTCGTTGTTTCTAAGAAAAAAATAAAATAAAAACATACACACTTAATAAATCTTAGCCGGATTTTTTTTTTTTAAATAATAAAATGAACTAAATCTCAAAATTTAAGGTAGCATTTAATGATGTATGATTTTTAAAGAAAAAAATAAAAAAAATAATAACACTTACTATTTATAGGCTACATTAAATTTTGGCCTATTTTTTTGCTACTACTGTTAATAAATGGTAATTCTTATTATATATATATAGATGTAGATAGCTTTTTATCCATGTTTATTAGAACTTTCAAATTTAAAATCCTTGGCTAACTTAAATTGTAAATATTTTTAAAAGTTAATAACATTTATATTTGTTATCAATTTTTATTTATTATAAATTAAACTAATCATATTTTAACGATCTATAGTTTGACATTAATATCTTATATATAATTAAAAAAAAATTATATCAATCATCTCCCTATCAATAAAAAATTAAATATATATTAACTATGACCGAAAAACAATAAATTTATCAATCAAGTCTATTATACATTATAAATATTAAAAAAAATTTAACACAGTGCATTCAAATTTGACAGGTGAAGTGTATCATTTTATATAAAAAAATAATGTTATTTTGTAAGAATTATTTTAAATTTTACAATTAGAACTTGTATTTATATTTTTACAAATATTAAATTAAATTTACAATTAACATATGTAATGATATGAAGTTAACGCCAAAAATCCAGCTTTGACAATTGCCTAGGCTGGCCCATATGTGGATCCGCCACATGGTCTAGCTAGGTTCATGTCTTAAAATAGATCTAAATACAAAAATATGGACTTTGTTTGACAATTAATTTATAGCAGGTGAGTGATAGTTAGTTGTAGTAACGATGACTAATTATATTAGCGGAGAATAAATTGTATTAACTAATTTGATCAGCAAATTCAATTAACAATTAGTTAAATAATTCGTTATCAACTAAACCTATTGATTAATTTAAATAATCAAACTTCTAAAATAAGGTTCAAAATTGTGAGGAACTTGGA